GGGGGGGGGGGGGGGGGGGGGGGGGGGGGGGGGGGGGGGGGGGGGGGGGGGGGGGGGGGGGGGGGGGGGGGCTGTTGTCAAGCGAGCATGCGGGTGGATTGAGGCTTGCCGGGCCGGACCGCCAGGGAGCGGGGCGTCGAAGGGGCGCTCTGCATCGGGTGCACACACACACACACACATGTTGTTGTGATCACTTGGCAACTGTCTCGAAAGATGGCCCAATGCATCGGCGGCGGGCCGGTCGGCCGGCCGAGGACCAGGGGAATGGGACCAAGAGAGTGGATCGGCTCGGGCACGCCGGCGTGAGAGCGGGGCTTCCTCCCCGCTCGGACGAAGACCAAAGTGGCGGCGGCCTGCACGGTAGTAGGGCGGGCCGGGGACCTGCCGTTGCTCGGCCCATGCCTCGGTGTGCCCCGAGGGTTTTCCGGGGAGGAACGGGGGGAATTCATCGGCGCTCCGCCCTGTGGGGGCAGGGGCATCATAGAGAAAGCAAGGCAGAGGCCATGTCTCCTTCGACCTGGGCTCCTCGAGAGTGGGTGTGCCCAGCCAAAAAATGCGCTGGGGTTGCGGTCTTATGAGCATCCATCGTGCCAACTGCGGTCATCGTCCTCCGGGAAAAGGGCGCGCCCCCGCGCGTGCGGCCGCCACCAGCGACGGCAAGATCCTCGGATCTAACCCACGAATGCCGCGCCGGCGGTCCTCCGCGAGGGGGGGCGGGGCGGGGGGAATGCCGACCGGGGTGCGCAAGCGGCTGGGTGTGGAGTGCGAATCGCCGAGCGGGGGCGATGGACCGTCGAAGGGGTGTGTGCCAGTGGGCATGCCCGTCTTGCGGAGGGTGCGAAGCCGGGAGGGCCCTGCGGGGGGGGGGGGGGGGGGCCAGGGCTGCGGGTGCTAGCGTGTTGGCAAAGCGCCCCACCTCTCTCTCCCCCTGCGACCTTGACGCGCATGGTCGGCCGGCGCTCGGGTGTTGCGGCATCCCCAAGGACGAGCGGCGCGCCAAGGGCTCGAGAGGGCGGGCGGGAAACCAAGCTCAGAGGTGTGTCACGACGGCCGGGGAGGAAGGCCAGCACGGAGGCACATTCACACGCAAGAGACGGGGGTTTGGGGGGGGGCACGGATGCCATGCCGGGGCGAGGCCGATCTGAACAGGAACCACATGGGACCCCGGGGGAGCACTGGAGAGCGGTGTGGCGCGCGCGGACGGTCGCGGGGGTCGGGCGCATGCGTGCCCCTCTCCCCCTCCCCCCGGGTTCTCCTCCCCGGCCGCCAGTCGGCCGACCGGCAGGAGGGGGTATCCCCGCAGATGACCAAGAATCTCCACATTCAGACCCGAGCCTGCCCGGTGGCCGGCTCAACGGTCAACGTTCAGCCCGGGCTGCCTCGGGCTCGCTCAGTGGCAGCATCCCGGGCACGCTCCGGCTGACCTGGCTGTTCTGAAAAAATGGAATGCACGTCCGGGCGGCAGAGAGCCCCCTTCGCGGGCGTGGCGCCCGGTCTTCGGGGTCTCGGGCCGCGCGTCCGGGCCCTCCCGGGGGAGCGGAGGCCCCCGCGTGCGCAGGGGCGCTCTGCCAAGTGCCCGGCCGCGCTGGTGCCACCGCGTCTTCCCGGCCGAAGGGCGAGCGCGACGAACTGGCAGAGCAGGTAGAGAGGTGTTTGCACGTGCATCGGTCGGGCGGATGCTCGGGGATTCGGCCGGGGCACCCCCCCCCCCCCCCGGGCAGGGGCCGCGCGGCGGGGGGGGAGGGGGGGGGGCACAAGAGGCGGAGGCATCCCGGGAACGACCGGAACCAGGGCCACGGGGACTGTCGGCACCGGCCTTCGGCCGGCGTTAAAAGCCGCCGGGCCGCGAGTCGGGCAATTGGAAGCGTCGCACGGCCCCAGGACCCCTTCTACTGACGTGGCTGAGAATATCGCTCCCTAGAGAGGGGACCGGTTTGTTGACAGCCAGATGCGGTGGAATCGGCCGGGCGAGCTGGCACGCCTTGGGGCGATCGTCGGGAGGGCGGATTGTTGGAGAGGGGGGGCGGGGGGGGGCAGACAGGGGCTTACGCCCCTGGAAAGGCAGGGGCGGGGCCGCTGCTGGAGGGGGGATCCTCCGGACTCCGGCGTCTCCGCGTGGGGCCGCTGCTCCCCGGCAGCATGCGGGCCATCTTGCCTGCGGGCAGAGATGAATCCTCTCGGCGGGTGGGGAACGTCCGGGGAGCTACCCGGCGCGCTCGCCGGCCCCCGGTTAGCACCAACGAGAAGGACAACCCCTGCGACCGGGGCAGTGAGCCCCCCCCCCCCCTCCCCCAACTTGGAACTCGTGTGCCGATTTCCGGGCTGGATTCCGAGCGGCCTCTGCAATGCGGCTGGCGCATTTAGGGTGCGGTGCCCGCGAGAGACTCCCGGGGGGATGGGGGCGCGTGAAGACAGGCGCCGTGGAAGGGATCGCGTGGCGGCCCCAGCACCCGAACACGGTGGGACCCGGCCTTCAAGCCGGGCGAATCGGGGTGCGGGGCCTCCGGAGGCGGAGGGGCGAAGAAGGTGGCGGCACCTTCAGGCTCACCGGCGCCAGGACGGGCCACACGGGACACCCGCGCCCAGCGGAGAAGACGGGGGGGGGCGGGGGGGGGGGGGGCCAGGCGCGTGGGCGCGCAGGTACACAGCCAGGAAGCTCGGAGAGTGTGTCCTCCAACGCGCGCGAGCGGGCCTCGTTGAGGCTTGCGGGTCTTAAACGGGGCCACCCCAGCCATATCGGCCCGGGCATGCGGCGCTCCCGGGTCGGCGTGAGCCGCGCGCCGAGGGGCGGAAGGCCCTCCCCCGCCATCACGGCTCGGGTCTGGCCCTCGTAACGAGCGGCTGGGGCGGGGGCGGAGGGGCCAGTCGGGACGGGCTGGTGACGGAGGTCCCCGGCAAAGGTCCCCCCCCCCCCCGGCCCCAGCCCCGGCGGAGCCCAGGGGTAAAAAGCGGGCCCTGGTCCAGGATGAGCTCCGTACGGGGGGGGGGGGATGCGCGGCCCCGAGCCCGCACCACATTGACACGGCCACGCTCGTCGCCGCACGCCGGCACCATAAAACCGGGGTGATGCGCAAGAGAGCGAAAAGGGTCTGATCGGACACGGCCCCAGAAGGGCTCGACATCGCAGGCTCGTTCCAGGGGTCGTGTGGCCGAGGGGCGCGCCTGGGAGGTGTGCGGGAGGGGCAGGGCGGGCACGGCCGCTCGGCTCTCCCGGGCAGCGCAGGGTGCGTGTGCCCCGGGCCGTCGCACTCGGAACATAGGCCAGTAGTTTACTTCGGCCGGCCGGGAGGCGCAGGCGCGGGGGGGAGTGGGGGGGGTACACCGACGCGCACTCTGGCGCCGGGCGACTGCCGGCCCCGATGCCCGTCGGGGGCGCAGGGGACGGGGCGCGGGGGGGGGGGGGCGGCGCGACGCGGGCATGCCCGTCTCCCAGGCCGGCGGCCGCCTGTTTGCCGCGGTGGTTTGTTATTATCCCTCCCCCCCGGAAAGGGGAAAAATTATTAATCGTCTAATAATGAATGTGATATATTCTCGGCTGGGGACGAAGTAGCAGCACGCCGGCTGTCCGGTATAACGACCGGGGCGAGAATGGCTCATCCTGGCGAAGGGGGGAGGCCGGGCGGTCCCCGGCACTCACACGAAGAGCGGCCCTGGCTCCACGTTTCGCCGGAGGGGGGGACCTCGAGTGTCCCGCTCTCCCGGCCTCGCCCTCGACCTTGGACCGGAGCCTTGCGCCCCGGGTCTCCTTCCGCCTCCGGGAGGAGGGCGGAGAGGGTGTCCCTTGCGTGTGCAGGGCTCTCGGTGGGGACCGAGTGAGCGGGCGCATTCTTCGCCTGGGAATGTCTCCCGCCTGTTCCTGGGCCGGTGTTTCCACCGGTGGAGGGGGGGCCCTGAGGATAGGGGGGGGGGGGGGGGGGCCGGCCTGTCATGCGAGGCGGGCCCCGCCACTCACCGCGAGGGATGCGCCTTTCGGCGCGTGTGCGGGGGGGGGGGCGGCGGGGCGTTCGTGCCTCACCTTTTTCGTGTGCCCCTAGGGAGAGCCCACCGCTGCGTGGGTCATTCTCCCCGGGGAGGGGGGGGGAGAAACGGCGCGGGCGGACAAGGGGCAATTGTTTTTATCTGTGGTCTCAATGGGAGCCAGGGCACCGTCCGCCCGGACAGGCGTCAAGGGCTGCGAGTGCGAGTCTGCGCGAGCATGCGCGCGCCGGCGGCGCCCCGTTGCCCTGTTTCACGCTTCCCTGACCGATGCTGTGCTTGCTCGTTTCCGGCGGCCGCGCGTCCCCTCGCAAGGTTGATACCCGGCGCGCGCGGACCATTCCGTCGGGCACGCGAATCGCTCGAGTCCTCCCCGGGTCCTCGCCCCTGTTGCGGGAGGCGACCTACGTTGGCGGGGCGCGGCATGCAAGGGCGGGCGCACAGGAGAGGGGTAGTCGGTAAGGGGTATATTATTGCGCGGGTGCGGAGGTCCACCCTCCCCCCCCCCCCCCCCGGGGGGGGTAGCTGAGAGGGGGCCGAGCGGCGAGAGGCCGGGGGGCGGGACGGGACAGAGGGGGGGCTTGTCGGCTTCCAGCCGCCCGGCTCCTTCTTCGCGCCCCTCTCTCCATCCCCACCTGGTACTTGGGTTGACGCATGCATGCGGTCCGCGGGGCCCTGTTGCCTGGTGTGTGTGTGTGTGTGTCTGTACATGTACTGCCCCCCCCCCCTCCCCCAAACACCCCTCATCTCTGGGCCGCGCGCGTTGCCGCAGTTCCAGGGGCATATGCGCGGGACGCAGGCGGGTGGGGGACGGGGAGCCACCAAGGAGAGAGGCGCACACGGGGGGGGGGGGGACAGGGCGCAGTCGTGTCCCTCGCCTTCTTTCCCTCGAGGCGTCCCCCCAATTTGCCTCTTCCAAGGGGCTTTCGGTGGTGCCTGGAGCGCCTGGCATGGGTGCACGCGTGTCCGTGAGGCAGGGAGGCGCCGGTGCCGGCCTCTCGGGGTCGGGATGTTCGCCAGGACCAGCCCGGCCTCGATGCCGTGTGCCCAGGGGGGTCACTGTCGAACCAGCCCCGGCCGGAGGCCTCCCGGCCCGGTGAGCCGGACCCGGACGACCTCCTCTCCCTGCCGGCCTTCAGCAATCTCGGTGCGTGCGGGCGGCCGGGCCGGGCCCTTGCTCCTGGCCCTGCCCCCCCCCCCCCCCCCCCCCGCCTGGGGAGGAGATATATGAGGACCCGACCCGGCTGCGGAGAAGGCATGGGACGGTAACCCTTTTTTAAGAGCTTTCTCCTGGTGCGTCTCCCCCTGCTGCGAGTGGGAGCGAGAGCCCTTTTTTTTGCCACCTTCTTTCTTCTCACCCCCTTGTACGCGTGTGTGTGTGTGCGCCCGACTTTCCCTCCTCCCTAACCCGTGTGCCTTCTCGCCATTTCTCTCTCTCTCTCTCTCTCCAGTTCCCCTCCCCCCTCCCCTCCCCCCCCCTCGCACCCCCCCACCCCTCCTCTCGCCTGCCGCGCTCTTCAGAATCATGAAGTTCCCGCGCTGGGCCACCCTGTGGGCGGTGCTGATGGCTATCTTTGCCATCGGCCTCCTCGCCCCGACCACTTCTGCCCAGCAGAAGTGTGGCCCCAACCACTGTTACCCGGCTGAGTGTAACGGTCACGCCACCCAGGTGGACTTTGTGTTTGTTTACGACTTCTCCGGTTCCATGAGCCCCACCTGGAACAACCTCAAGGCCGTCGTGCACCATTTCTTCGACGCGGTCTCCCGCGACAACATGGACGCCACCATCACCATTGTCGGTTATGCGTACAGCAACTCTAAGAACACCCTCCCTCGGATTGCTGTTCCCACCACCGCCATTACCCCGGGCAACCTGCAGTCCTTCAAGAACTCCTTCGACACGACCACCTTCCCTGGTGGCTATGAGCCCGGTCTGATGGCCCTGGAGCTTGCCTCCAAGGGTCACACCTACCCCGGCTTCAACATCAATTTCCGTGATGGTGCCCGTCGTGTCTTCGTCCTCTTCACCGATGAGGACTCCGATCCGAACACCCTCTACGGTACCAACCAATATGGTGCCTTCCCCACTCATCCGTATGAGACCTTGACCTGCCTCAGCCGGAACACGGCTCCCGCTTCGGATAGCCGCTTCGTGGCTTCCAAGATGGAGATCGACCGTGTTGGTGCTCACCTGGTTCGCACCGACTCCTTCGTGCACTTCGTCGTGTCCGATCAGACCCCCAACAGCATCTACCGTTGCTTCTCGCGCTTCCAGTTCGGCTCGTCTGCCATCAACTACGGCAACAGCAACTTTGTGGACATCTCTTCCGTGTCTGCTGCCCTGGCCAACGATCCCCACGCCAAGGATTCGCTCCAGGCCTACATGGTCAACCGTGACATCCTGTCTCGCACCTGGAACATCGACAGCACCACCTCCTCCGGTTCTGGTACTGCCTTCGTCAACACCATTCTGCAGGCCATCCAGCAGTCTGTCGGTACTTGCCAGGACTGCACCGAATACAAGTGCTCCTCTGGTGCCAACAAGGTCTGCCTGTCGCCTGAGCACATTTGCGATTGCGCTGGTGTCCGCCACGGCCCTCACGTATGTACCTTTTTTTCCCTCTTCCCTTTCATTCTTTTTGATCCTTCTTTGTTGGGTTTTTTTTTTGCCACTTCGCCATTGGGCCGCCTGGTTTCTCTAACGACTGCATATACTTCTCTTGGACACATGGGAAATGTGCTTCAACAAAAAAACCCCATCCTCTCCTTTCCTCTCTCTCTCCCACCGATGGTAGGTTCGTGATTGCGAGAACAAGTGTGTCCTCCCCCAGAACGCCAAGGTCGTGGATTGCGCCGGTGTCTGCGGTGGTACCGCCACTCTCAATGGCTGTGGCTTCTGCGCTCGTGATGATGCCGGTTGCCGCTCCGATTGCCGTGGTCGCACCTTCCCCAACGTCGCTCCCCCGGGCGTCGTTTCCACCGTCTGCCCGAGCTGGATCAAGCCCGAGGACATTGCCTCTCTCTACACCGAGGTCGTGATCGCGGCTCGTCTCACCTTTGCCGGCACCTCCACTCGTGATATCACCTCCTTTGTGTGTGAGTGGTTCAACAAGCACAAGCGCCACCTCACCAGCACCCAGGAGTGCATCTTCGACGCGGCCAAGTACGCCAACGCCGCCGGTGTCAGCGTCGATTCCGCCGCCACCGAGTTCATCAAGCTCGACGGCTGGCGCCGGTTCAGCGGTGTCTGCCGCAACGCCCCGGTCAGCATCATGGCCCCGCCGCCTGATGCCTGTGGCCAGTGCCGTCAGAACCTCTACGAGCCTGCTCCCTTCTGCCAGCTGGGCTGCAATGGCCAGTATGCCACTTCCCAGGCCGCCCTCCACGAGATGGACAACTGCAACTCTTGCGTCGGTCCCGACGTGAAGGCCGCCAACCCCAACACCTGGCGCGATCTCAAGAAGGACGACTGCGGCGTTTGCAATGGCGGCAACAGCGCCAAGAACCAGTGTGGCGTGTGCTTCGAGGACAAGACTCTGGACGGCTGTGGTCAGCCCAACTGCAAGAAGCTCTTCTGCTCGATCGATTGCAACGATGTCCCCTACACCGCTGTGGACCTGATGCAGCACCACATTGACCCGTGCGGTAACTGCGTGCGCATCCGCAACCCGGATGGCTCCGACTACATTGTCGAGGGCAAGCCCCAGCTCCGCCATCCTCGCTGCCTGGACGACTGCATCGGCACTCCCTACATGAAGGCGGAGACCTGCGATGATGCCCTCACTCCGGCCGATGTGCTTGACACCCCCTCCAAGCTGGACTCCTATTGCCACAAGGCTGCCAGCCACTGGACCAACCCCTGCAACAAGTGTGTCCCTCTGGAGGCCACTTCGAAGGCTTGCGTTCGTGATTGCGCCCGCGCCTGGGGCGGTGACTTCTTCCTCGACAAGTGCCAGGTCTGCCGCAACCCGGCCGACAAGGAGGAGGACCATGAGGATCGCTGCCTCTTCGATTGCAAGAACACTCCCTACCTGGAGTCTGCTGGCAAGCCCCATGTCTACACCATCTGTGGCCATTGCGTGGCCAAGGACTCGCCGCTCCTGGATGAGCACATTGACTCGTGCGGCCGGTGTGTCCTCAGCCCGGGCTGGAATGCCGATGATTGCAAGAAGGACTGCTCCGGCGTCTTCCGCCTCGTGACCGACCCCAACGCCCATGTGCTGGATTCCTGCGACGAGTGCCACAACCCCAACGATCTGTCCAAGTACAACCGCCTGCTTGATGAGTGTGGTCTGTGTGTTACTCTCGAGGATCTCGATGAGAATGGCCAGACCCCCCCCTCGGCTGGTGCTATTGTTGATGACCTCGGTGTCTTCTGCGGCTGCAAGCCCAAGGCCCAGCCGGTGATGCTTTCGCTGGCTTCCGGCTCTGGCTCCAACAATGGCCATGGTGGTCTGCTCATGGAGTGCGATGACCCTGAGAACCCCGGCAACAAGCTGAACCTCTGCTCGGAGGCCGGCCAGTGCCCGCCTCTCACCGCTTGCGGCACCAACGAGAAGGGCGAGACCATCCCGGTGGACATTTGCGGTCGCTGCCCGGTCGGCACCGGCTCCAAGGACAAGGACCATCCCCTCTACGGCTACCTGGATGATTGCGACCTTTGCTGCGACACCCACGACCCGAAGGACCTCGAGGCCAACCCCACCTGGGTGGTTTGCAACTCGTCTGTCAGCCCCTGCGGCAACTGCCACGTTCGTGAGTACCATGACCAGTGCGGCAACTGCCTGGATGTGCCCTTCGGCATTGCCCCGGGTGACACCACCACCCCCCTGCCGAATGACCCGTCCTGCGTGGCCGGCTGCGATGGCAAGTTCCCCCCTGCTGGCACCCCGCCGGAGGATCTCCCCCGCACCAACGAGTGCAATGTCTGCACTGTGGCCGACTCCGATGAGGATAAGCTCTGTGTGACCGATTGCAACGGTGGCCACTACCATAGCGTCAACGGCAAGCCCAGCTTCATCATTGACAGCTGTGACCAGTGCGTCCGCCCGGAGGATGCCTGCTCCACTCTCGGCACCGGTGCCATCGTCGGTATCGCCATTGGTGCGGTTGCCGCTGTGGCCCTGGTGGCTGTGGCTGCCATCTTCGCCGTCAAGTACGCCCAGGCCAACGGTCTGTTCGGCCTCAACAAGCCGGCTGCCGACATGTCCTCTGGCAGCAATGCCAACCCCCTGTTCGCCGGTCAGACCCAGACCGCCAGCAACCCTCTCTTCGTTGATTAAGTAGAGAGTGCAATGTATCTCTCCCTTCTCTCTCCTCTCCCCCCTGGTGAGAATAGGCGGGTATGAAGGCAGCAGCCAGGATCAGGGGGGCGGTCGCGACACGCACGCATGCACGCGCCGCGCGCCCACACATACTGTGTGTGTGTGCGTGGTGGTGCTGGTGATGGTGTGCCCTCTTCTCTCTCCCTCTCCTTCCTCTCCCCCTCCCTCCCTCCCTCCTTCTTTTCGCGGTGTCCTTCCCTCCCCTCGTCGCTCTCCTGGCGCGTACGGGGGGGGGGGGCCAGGTGCTCGCGGAGAGGATGGATGGGACGGGGGGGCGCCCTGGGCGTGAGGCCGAAGGCGCGAGAGAGTCTCCCTTGTGCGCGTGTGTGTGCACAATATGCCACCTGCGTGCCAGTCCATGCGCATGTGTGTCTATCCACACGCAAATCCCCCTCCTCCCTCTCCCCTCACACGCCCCTTTGTGTGTGTGTGTGTGTGTGAGTGTGCCCCCCTTTTCCTCTGTCCTTCCCTCTTCACTCACTCAACAATGCTGTAGCCTACTATGCTGTTTGTGTTTCTTCCTGTCGCTCCTTTTGCTTTTCTTATGGGAACTTGCGCGCGGGGTGAGAGGGGGCGGAGGGCGCGGGGGGCGTGGCCGTGTGGGTGTTCCTCGTGGTTCTTTTTCTTTCCGGATGGCGTGCAATCATATGTATGCAGCCTCCTCCCTCTTTCGGCCCCTACTCGTCTCCATCTTTTTTCCCCCAGCCGGGGGGAGTGGGGGATAGCCACGCGTCCGCGATGCTCGGCCTGCGCCGGCTCCTGCCCGAGGGGGGGAACCGTGACATCGCCCTCCTTTGGCCATGATTACGTATGCCTGTGTGTTTGGAGCGAAGGCGCGGGGGACGTGCGCTGTATTGGAATGGACGGGGGAAACCTGACGCGGCTGCATGCACACGAAGCGCATGCAGCCGCCATTTGAAAGGTATTGTGCTGCTTTGCCCCCTCCGCACCTCGCCCCTTTGGGCGCGTGGCATCTTCTCCTGATGCCGGACCTCCATAGGCACACTCCCTCTCTCTATTCCATGCCCACTTGGGGAATGAATTGTCCCTTTCGCGTGGCTGTCCCTCCTGAACCGATCTGAGCAAGGGCGGTTGAGCGAGGAAATGGAGTGGGCATAGGGAGAGGCAGAGAGAGGGCGCAAGAAAACCCACCCCCGGAGGGAATGGCCTCCTCGACCGTGTGACGGGGTGCTGTGGAAGCTCCCCCTGGCTCCGGCTAGGCTATCCACATCCCCCGGACATGCACATGAAGACCACGGACAATGGGAGAGTGATCTGACGGCGAGATTGCCGACAGGCTCCTCCCTGGAGATGGATGTGTACTGATGGCGCTGGAGGGCACCACGTGCCGGTGGTTTCAAGTGACGCTGCGGGGGGGGGGGGGTAGCGCAGGCAAAGGGATAGGGGATTGAGGAAGCCATGCTCGTCACTTTCTTAGGGGAGAGAGAGAGAGAGAGAGAGAGAGAGAGAGAGAGGGGGCTTGCGGCTTTCGCACCGAGGCCCTGTGCGTTTCCCGGATTCCGTCGACTTGCTGGATGACAGGAAAAAAAGCAAATACACACACACGCATGACATATCGCAGATCAGTCCCACAGTCGAAAGAGGAATCCATCCCCCCCCCCACCCACCACCTCCGACCGACGAGCCTCCCCACGATACGGAGACAGAAAGGGAAACGGAAGAAAGGAACGCATGCTGACAGTGGCGGGAATCAGAAGGAAAGAGAGAGAGAGAGAGAGGGAGGGAGGGTCCCGAGTGACAGTCTCTGTGTAGTGCATACAAGGGCAGGGGGGGGGGAGAGAGAGAGCACAGAGGAGAGAAAGGAGAGGCCAAGACACTGACCACTACACCTTAAGGGAAGGACATCTCGACGGCGAAGGCGAGGCCGAGCTTGACGAACTCCTTGGCGTAGTTGAGGTCGATGTTGTCGACGGTGTCGTTGACAGTGTGGATGAAGGGGCTGTGCTTGCCGAAGGGGGCCTCGAAGGTGAAGATCGAGCGGTAGCCGAAGTTGTTCCAGGAGGCGTGGTCAGAGCAGCCGTAACCGCAGAGGCTGTCCTCGTAGGTGATGAGGAGGTACTCGTCGATGAGCTTGGCCAGGAAGTCGCCGAGATCCGGGTCGGTGTAGTCGCGAATGAGGCCGATCTTGCCGTAGCCCGAGTAGCCGGTCATATCGTACTGGGACATGCCACGGACAATGGTGCCCTTCTCGTAGTAAGCCTTAGCCACACCAGCGGAACCAAGCAGACCAACCTCCTCGGCGGCGTAGAAGTGGAACTCCAGGGTCAGGTAGGGGCGGAACTGGTGGTCGACCAGGATGCGGACGATCTCCAGGAGGGTCATGGTGCCGGAGCCATCATCATCAGCACCCGGGGCGCGGCCGGTGGCCGGGGAGGCGGTGTTGATGGAGTCGAGGTGAGAGCCGAGGATGACGATGTCCTTGTCGCGCTTGCTGGTGCCGTTGAAGCGGACAATGATGGAGGGCTGAGCGAAGCGGTGCTCGAAGGTCTCCACCTCGACATAGGGGAGGGTGCCGTTCTGGGTGGCGGCGTTGATCTCCTCCAGAAGCCACATGGTGGACTCGACACCGGAGGGGCTCTCATAGTAGCTGGGAGGGGAGGGGGGGGGAGGGGAGTCAGCTTGCAGTGGGGAAGGGGGGAACGAGCAGGCAGGCCAGGGCAGCCCCCTCGCAAGGGGGGAGAGGGAGAGAGCGCGCGCGCGAAAAAAAAAAAGGGGGACCACACGCACCGAGTGTGGAAGGAGGTGAAGGTGGTCAGCTTCTGCAGGTAGCGGTGCATGTCGATGCTCTGGTGGAGCTCGACCACCTCGGCCTGGTACTCCAGGGAGGTGGGGATCGGCATGGCGGCCTGGGGGGTGGGGACCACGGCGCCGGTGGCGTACTCCTCGATGTCGGAGATATCACGGAAGTGGACATCACGACGGATGAGGTCGAACACCTGGGACTCGGTCATCCACTGGCGCTCGGTGTCGCTAGTGGCAATGAGGCGGGCACCGGGGGCCGGCTGTGGTGGGTGTAGGGGAGGAGAGAGGAGGGGGGGGTGAGTGACAAGGCAAATGTGCGACCAGACAGATGTGCGACCGGGTAGATGTGCGACCGGGCAGATGACGAGGCAGGCAATCCAGGAAGAAGAGGGGGGGGGGGGGGGGACGAACAGCAGTGGTGGCCGAGGCCACGGAGGAGATGGACAGGAGTGCGGCAAGGCCGACGGAAAGCAGCTTGCCCAGCATGATTCCAAAATACACGGTACGCGAAAGGCTACTCTGAAGGGCAGAAAGTCGGGAACAATGTATCGGAGGGGATGAGCAAACGTCGGGCCGGAGTGGCCGCCGCGGGGGGGGCTCTTCTCGCTGGGCCGTCCTGCCCCCCCCTCCCTCGGCCCACCTACACACACACATGCACACGCACACCAGGGCCGCGGGACACGACCACCCGGAAGCCGGTGTGCCCAGAGAGGGGGAGGGAGGAGGCATGCACCAGCACAAGCTTGGGGCGCCAGGTATCTTAGCGACAAGGCAAGAAGCCGAGGGAGTGAGAGCCAGCGAGAGAGAGAGAGAGAGAGAGAGAGAGAGAGAGAGAGAGACAGAGACACACACACATCCAGGAGGTGGCCCCGGTCCAGCCGCGCTAGGTGCCAGACGCATATCGGGCTCGGGCGAGGGAGGGGCGCAGCGCAGGAGGCGCAGGGCAGACCCGCTCACGGCCCGCTTGTCTCTCTCACACCGCGCGCGCCAGGAGCGCAAATGCGGGTCGATATTTCCCGGACATCTCTCTCCTGCTCCGGCCCCGGGCATGTGGAGATGCACACCCCCATCCCTGGGCCGTTGAATTCCCCCATACCACTGCCCTGCCTCCGCCCCCTCTTCCGCGCTGCGCACCAGCGCCGGGGCAGTGAGACAATATGGGGGAGTGAGAGAGGAGGAAAGTGGGAAAGACCATGCCTCCCCCCACCCCCCTACCCCCGCCCCCAGCCTCCACCTGCGCAGGTCCGCGCAGCCTTGTGACCGCCCACGCCAGGGAGGATGGCTCCGGGGTGAATACTCCCGCGCTGGGCGGGGCGTCGGCGGGGGAGAGAGGGGGGAGATCACTCGGCGCCAGGAAGACCCGTTTAAAAAAGCCCCAGCCCCGATGAGCGAGACACGCCCGGGGAGAATGGCTGGCGGGCGGGAGGCCGGGGGGGGGGGTCACGCGCGCTCGCATGCCCTGGCCCGCTGTCCGGGGCGCGTGGGTGGGGCGTTGAGCAGGCCTGGCGCCGGGTGGTGCCCGGCCCACGGTGTTGCCAGAAAGGACGCGGGTCGGGGGAGAGCAGTCCCTCCAGATCGTCGCCTGGAGAGAAGAGCACCAGGCTCACCCCCCCCCCCCCCCCTGTGCGCGCCCCCGTCCGGTGTGGCCCCAAGGCCGGCCCCCTTCCTCCGGTGTGGCACGACGAAGCCCCTCCCCCCCCTCCCCGCCGATGCTCCTCGGGGAAATAGACCCGCGCGAGTGTCGTCTTTGTTGGGACACATGAAGATATGCGACCAGCGGAGCCGGCGGGACGATGCTGCCGGGGGCGAGGGGCGCGCGGGGGCCTCGAAACGCTCGAGGAGGCACTCAAATCCCGGGCGCGCTCCAGGCCAGGCGCCGCCTATCACACAATCGCCGGGCGGCGACGGGAGGCCGGTGAGGAGGGGCCCGGGGACAAAGGCTGGAATATGCCACGACGTGCTGGGCGGGAAAAACCGCGGCGCTCCCGGCCAGGGCGCCGGAGTGGCGGCCCTACACACACACACACACACACACATGACCGGACCGCCGCCAAGGGTGCGGGGGGGGGGGGGGAGGTCTTTCCCCAGCCCCACAGGCTCGAAGGGCGGGCCGGGCGGATGGACACCATAACAATCCAGGCTGGGGGGCGGATGAGATGCAATCGAAAACAAAAACATCGGCCCTCGCCAGGTGTCCACGATGTCGTGCGCCCGCCTCCTGAGTCCGAGAAGCGTCGTCAGTTCGCGGACAGGATTCCCGGGCCGTGGATTCGCCCGGGCCTCGCACCGGAACGCGCCGGGGGGGGGGGTATGGCGGCCCTTCTGCCCGCCCGCCTCTCTTCCGGACCGCGGCGCTTTGTCCCGCGTTGCTTAGCACACGTCTGCAAAAGGGAGTAACGCGCGCACCGGTCACCCGGGGGCGGGGGGGGGGGGAAGACCCACCGGAGTGGGGATGGAGTGCGGCATGAAATGCCCCAGGCCTGATGATCCGTCGTAGAGTGGAGAGGGCGTCGAATGCTCGGTCTCCCCCCCCCCCCCCCGGCCCCCCCTGCTGCAACAACAGACACTCGCCCCAGGCCGGAGGGCCCGCACCCGGGCTGAGGGGCTGCGATCTGGCAGGAAGGGCCACTGTTGGACATCAACACGCCGCCTGCCAAGCCGTGGGCTACACCGAACCGCGTCAGCCGGTCGGGGGCGTTCTACCTTTTCAGTCGCGCCATTTTTAAGGCGGCGATCCAGAACCACCGGAACGGGGTCCGCGTTCGGCAACCCGGGGGGGGGGGATTCGGCGCGATCAGCCCGTCCGGCGGGGCGGGCCCGGGGGGGGGGGGGGGCTGCCCCGGCGGCCCGGGGGGGGGGGGGGGGGGGGGGGGGGCGGCCAGCCGCAAGGAAAAAAGCAAGCCGGCCGGCGCTCCCCCGGGACGAGGGGGAAATCTTTCCCCCGACGCACGGCAGCTGCCACTGTTGAATGACCCTTTCCACGAAGGAAGAGGCTGGCTTCAAGACGCGACACAATTCCGGCCAGCCCTCTCGGCCAACCAGGCCCCGAGACAAGCCACGCAGATCCGACGGCAAAAGAAACACCATAAGTGGGATGATGTTTCGAATGGCATTTCGAGATTTGCACGGGCGTGGGTGTGATTTGTGCCGGTGATCTCGTCGGGTGATCGGTCGCGCCTCGGAGATCGCCTGGTCTCCATCATGGCCCCGTTTCCGGCGCGGCCTCCCCCCTCACTCTGGGGATGGGAGAAGTTTGCAGGTCCCAGCCCGGGAGAGAGGTCGGCGGCCTCGTTCAAGAGACCCTCGGACCGAGGCGCATGTTGCGGCAGGCTCAGGGTTTGGACTTGAAGCTATCCACAATGAAGGGGCGCCGCCTAGGCGCCGGGTGACCAGGCAAAGAGGGGAACCAGGCGCTCGACCCAATCATCCCCTCCCCCCCCCGCAGAGAACGCCCGGGAGTATGGTCGCCGGGCGGGGGCCATAATGTCAGGACAGCAGCCAAGGGAAAGGGCGACCCCCGCCCTCCCCCCGCCCCCGGCTGGAAACCGCCCGCCGGGACAGGGGGGACCAAAAAAAGGAAGAAAAAATAATGCCACACATCATGGCCCACCGGGAGAACGAAGCAATACAGGGGTGGACGGGCCTCTTCCCTTCATGTTGGACCTGCGCCCCCCCCCCTCAGAAAACGGGCGAGAAGGGAGAAAACAGCCGCGGGACGGGGCGTCGCCAGCGACCGGGGGTTTTCCCACTGCTCCGCGGAGAGTGGGCATGTCCCACCGCTTCTGCAGCTTTTCGAGCGGCCAGCGGCGTGTCTTGTTGCGGGCCCTGGTGTGCGGCTCTGGCTGGCGAGCGGTGTGTTCCCTGGGAAGGCAGGAGCCGTTGGCCGAGGATCCCCTCCCCTCAGAGAGGGGATGCCAGGGGGGCCGGGGCGGGGGCTGAGTCCTTGGATGCCTCGAGCGAATTCTCGGTCGCCCGCTTCCCCCCCTCTCCGGACCCGGGGAGGGCGGGGGGGGGGGGCAACAAGACCGCGTCGGCGGTGTCCGGAGTGGCAAGAGGGAGAGAGGGGCCAGGTCACGTCCGTTCCAGAGGGTCTGGAGCCTGGCTGCGGGCGCGGCCCGCCTTCCCTCTTCCCTCTCCCCCCCGTCGAGCGGACCCCATCGTCGATGGCGCGGAGGCGGTGCCGGCCGGCCGGCCGCCGTTCAGGCCGTCCCCTCGGCAGTGGGATGATGCAGCGTTTGGTCGATCCTCGCGGCGGCACCCGGGCTCTTGCGCGTCCTCCTGCGGCTGAGGCCGTGAGTCGCCCTCGGCGGCCACGCGAGGCCTTTTTTTGCCACTCTCCCGCCGCCCTATTGCCGCATGATGGGGCCTCAATCTTGTTGGCTGGATTATCACCCTTTCGATTTTTCACCACAAAGTCAAGGTTCGACCAGGAACCTTCTCTTCCTCTCCTGCCCCTCTCCCCTTCTTGCCTTCTGCTCCCTCCTCCTCCTCCTCCGCCTCCTCTTCTCGCGTTCTCCCTTTCCTGTGGCCCTCTTCCTGCTCGCTTGCCCCTCGGTCTTCGGCGTCTCCTGCGCACGTCTCCCGCATTCCTGCCCTCTGTCCCTCCGGCTGCGTGTATCTGGCCGGCCTGTGCCCCTTGTCGAGCAGCATGTCGCGTGTCGGCTTTTCGTGCTGCTGCTGCTGCTGCTGCTGCTTCTCCCCCGGGGGCATCCCAGGGGTGTGCTGACTCGGCGTGCCGTCGACATATTGGGTGCTTCCAGTGACCCTGGCCTTCCTCTCCCCTGTCGGCGGAAACCACGGTTGTTGGTCGGGCCCGTTGTGTGTTGCATGCGCCCGTCTGTCAGCGGCAGACTGCCGTGCGTCTCCCCGTCCGGTCAGCCCCTCTCTCTCTCTCTCTCTCTCGTTCCGGGTCTTGGTGTGGCCATGGCGGCTGCGCTCTGCTCCACCTCGCATGTAGGTGGGGTGGACGGACGGACGGACAGACGGATGGGCGGGCGGACGGACGGGGGACTGTCCATGATACACGCGCCTACAGGAAGAGCGCAGGCATCCGAGGTCGCGCAGGGAAACCGCGAGGATCTTCCATTTTAACCACCCCCTTTTTCGGATACAATGTGCATCCGACGGCACACACCCACCCACCCACCCATGTCCTAACCTTGGCCCTTTCTTTTGTTTGTCCGGCTTCCCCTTCCTCCCGCTCGCTTTTCCCTTCCACAGATGGCCAAGTCGAAGAACCATACCTCTAAGAACCAGAGTACGCCCTCCTCGCCTCTTTCCTTCAAGGCGCCATTTCTCGACGCACTCGTATCCTCGCCTGCTGCCTGTTTGTATGTTGTCGCCATTTTGACCGTGTGTCCGTCCCCTCCCTCTCCGCGCTCCTCCTCCCAGGCCGCAAGGCCCACCGCAACGGTATTAAGAAGCCCAAGAAGGAGCGCTACATCTCCAAGAAGGGTGTACGTACTCGTCTGTCATTCGCGTGGGTTTTCCCTGCTCCTCGGGCGCGCAATGTGTGTGGGTCGGGGTGTCGTCTCCGGGGGCTCGGGGCCTGTGCCGTTTCTCCTCTCTCTTTCTCCCTCTTTGGCCCCCCTGTCTTGTGCAGGGGGACGCCAGCAGCGGAGACATGGACGACGGGATCGGGGCTGGCCGCAACCCCCTCGCACAGACGCGCCCATGCTCCGCTCATCGCCGCCGTTTTTTTCCCCTCGCCGCGCTCTCGCGCACACGGCTATCGTCTTTTTTGGGCATCCCCTGACCCACTTTCTCCTCGCCCTTCCCTCCCCCCCCCCGATCCGCGCGCAGGTCTGCACCAAGTTCCTCCTGAACCAGCGCTACGCTCTCCAGGGCACCTTCCGCGCCGTGAACCCCGAGCGCTTCCAGAAGAAGGACTAAGCTCCTTGATCTCTTGGTCTATGTGTCTCTCTTTCCCCATATATACACACCTGTGAGCACTTCCACATCCGTCTTCTCTCCCCCCGTATGTTCCCCCCCGCGGCGGGAGGACGGTGCGCGTGTAGGATTTGCCATCCACGCAGTGCGAATGTATATGGCAATGATATAACATGGGTATTTCCATTCCCCCTCCTCCTTGTCTGTTTCTCTGGGTTCGCCTTTTTTTGGCGGGGGGGTCGTTTTTTTTTTACTACACGCGCGCCGCGTATGATGCTCTCTCGTTCTCCTTCGGGCGCCCGAGGCGCGAGAGAGCGAGAGAGGGGTGTGGTAGCCATGATTTCCCGATTGCGCGCGGATGTCATGTGGAGAGGCGCCCGCGAGAGAGGGGGCGGGGAAAAAGGGGACCCAGGTTTGTGCACGCTCGAAGCGCCGAGGCCAGTCGTATGTGCGGCAGGCGGCGGCGTTTCCACGCCCGCTCGTGTGGCGGGCGCGCCTGGCTCGAGGCGAGCAGGCGCACATTCATGACACGGCTCCCGTCTCGGCGCCGCGAAATCCTCACGGGGGCATCTGCAGGAGGCGAGGCGGAGCGGGGGCCAGCCTGGCTTTTTGCCCCGGTCTTGGCACAGGGGTGTGCGCTTTTTCCTGGGCCCTGCCTCCTTGCATCCTCAGTCGCGATGGGGGTGTTGTGGGCTTGCCGCGGCAGGCCCGTGTGCTGTGTGCACCATGTCCGCCTCTTCCGGCGCCCCCATCTGCCGTGATTGGTCGCTCGATGCCGCCCGGCCGCAACCCTCCAAATGGTTCTCTTGTGCAAAGTGCCACTGAGCGAACCGGAGTGGCCGGCCAGGGCGAACGCCCTTCGAAAAGATGAAAGAAAGAGTCTACCACTGCCGGGGCTAACACCCGGCCTTCGACCGCGAAGGAAATGCCAACCCAAGGCCGGGGATTCGGCGGGAGCTATGGGATGCTCAAGTTGCAGATTTCTATTTGACTGGGGGAGATCCCAGATCGGAGGGAGGAGAGAGGACATGGGGGGGGATAGAGAGGCCACACATGTGTCATCGGGGACAGAGGAGAGGGTCAGTGGATTGGGTGTGGAAAGTCGATCCCGGAGGCGGCGGCATGTGGGCGTGCGTGTGCGCATTTTTGCCCCCGAGGAAAAGGGGACGAGGTGGAGGGGCGGGACACGTACGGGTGGCCTTGCCCAGGTATGAGGCAGTGACTACGGGCTCGGGCCGGGCGGCGAAGACAAGCTTCTCCTTGAGGATCGCCACCACCGAGTAGGCGACGCCCTGGGCCTGGCTGTCGGTGGAATCGGTGTCCCCGGACGGGCGATCAGCCGGTGAACGTGTCCAGGGGTCGAGTTCTGGGTTTGCTGGCGATCCTCTTTGCCCTGGGCGACCCTTCTTCAGGACGACCAGGGGCTTTTTCAGTGGGGCAACCTTCCCACGAAGGCGGTGTCGCCCAATGGTCAGGACATAGGCTCCCTATTTGTCATGTGCGTGTGTATGAGGGCACGCATGCATGCGTAGACGGGGGCACATGTGCGTGTGAGGAAACGAGCAGCTATGGCAGGGGAGGGGGGGGGGGGGGGGGGGGGGGGGGGGGGGGGGGGGGGGGGGGGGGGGGGGGGGGGGGGGGGGGGTAGGGGGGGGGGGGGGGGGGGGGGGGGAGGCGTAGGCGCCTGCCGGGGACGAGGCCGGTTTGCATGCGAGGAGGCGACCCTGCTCAAAGCGCACCATCGAGTCCTTGGACAGGCGGCCGACGACTTGGCCAGCGCGGACATCCCGCACGAGGCCCGACTGCGTGGCCGAGGTGGGGTCATCGTCACAGGTGGCAGACGCACCGTCCGTGCCGGCGTCATTACCCCCATCGGCGTCCAGCCCACCAGGGGGCGCCGAGTAGCAGGGGTCCACCGCGCCGGCACAGCCCTCCGCATCGTTTTGAATCTTGCCCTGTAGCTCAATCATGGCCACAGGCAGGGGATATGCCCCTTCGGGAACATCCACCATGATGGTGGCCATGTTCGAGGGTCAGGGGCGAGCTGTTTCGAATGCGCCGAGGAGCGACAGAGGGGGCAACGGGCTGGTAGGGCTATTCAACAGGGGGGAAAGAGCAGTGGGGCTGTTTTATGCCCGCCTCAATGGGTTGCTCCCCTTTCTCCCTCCTCCGGTTTTCAGGCGAGATCCCCCCTCGATGGTCCTCCCCCTTCCCCACACCGAAAACATCAGTCTCCCGAGGGAGACACGGGCAGAAGCATCGAAGCCCCCCCCCCCCCTCCGGGCGTGGTGTGCCGAAGTAACAGCCTTTTTAAAATACGGTGTATTTTGGTTGGCACATGGTCATATGATCAAGGGCCGCGCCGATCGGCGCCCGGGGCGGTTGTCGTCTTCCCCCCTCCCCGCCCCGGGAGAGGCAGCCCACTCAGGCCAGGCCCTGGTAATAGGCGGTCAGGGCCTTGGGCGGCTGGTAGCCCGAGCGGAGGGGCGAGGAGCGGTTGACTTGCACCGAGCATGGCTGCCCCAGGAGAGCGAGCTTTGGCAGTGGCGAATTGGATTTGTCAGTGCGCGTGTGTGTACGTGTGGCAGGGGCATTTTGAGCGCCACATGCGTCCGGCGTGCTCGTATGCGGCGCGTACCTGATCCGGAGAGCTGGTTCGGGGGACAAAGTAGGCAATGTGAGGGGAGATCTTGTGGCACGCCTCGAAGATGGCATCACTGGTGCAGGCCGCCGGCATGGGGGATGTCAGTGGGGGGGGGGAAGGGGACGCAGGAGTCAAGGCGCGCGTGATGGAAAGGGGAGAGGGGAAGGCCCCGTCAGGACGCACGCCGGAGGGGAAACCATGTTCACGCAATCAAACTGCCCGCTGCCAATCAAATTGTCCCGGTGGGCATTGATATGCCCCCGGGAGTTCGACGACCCGGCATATACCACGCCGCCCCATGGCGGACTGAGGAAGATGATATCCGCCTTTGGGGGGGAGTGCAAAGGGATGGTGGCGGGGAGATGGGGAGGAGGCAGGTCAGAGGGGAGGCCAGCTAAAGTCGGCACAGTGGCGCCCACATGCGCACCTCAAGGGTTCCATTGTGCGCCAGCTCGAGGAAATCACCCTGGATGAAGGTGATCCGGTCATGGACACCATACACCCGGGCGTTGTTCTCGGCCATGGCCAGGCGGAAGGGATCCAGATCGATGGCGATGACTGGAATGGGTGAGTGGGGCGCAGGGGGCGCGGAGGGTGAGGCACGGAGCACGATGGTACCACAAGCCCCGAAGGGCGGGCCGAAGAGGGGAGAATCGAAGGTGGACGTACCTTGTGCGCCCAGTCGAGCAAAGGCAATGGAGTTGCCGCCAGCACCGCAGAAGGGGTCCAGCACGATCAGCCCTGGGCGCAGACACTGCTCGTCCAGCGAGAAGGACCCGAGACAGCGCTGGGCAATGTCGAGGGCGATCTTCTCCGGGGTCACCGAAAACCAAGACTCCCGGTCCATATGGATTCCCTGGTCGAAGCGGGAAAAGAGCTGGTAGCGCTGGGCAAAGTACTTCAGCATGGCTGGCTCAAAGTGCTCGCGCTTGGCAAGGACCAGCTCGCGGTAGCGAGCCTGAAAGGCAGGCGTCCCGCGGTGGGCGAAGCAAAACTCGGCCACGGCGTCGGACGGAGAGCCGGCCCCCCGTTGACGAGTGTCGCGAGTGGATCGGCCTCTCTGGCCGCCGGTCTGGCCGTTTTGCCGGGGAGCCGAGGAGCCGCCACGCGATGGGGCATCAGATGCCGCGGACCAGCCACCGGGAGTGGAGGTGCGATTGCCAGCCTGGTGGTTGTCCGCATCATCGTCATCATCACCAGCACCATGGTTGTTGCCATACTCCTCGACGCATCCTTCGGAGGAGTCGGCATCGGAGTCGGCATCGGAGTCGGCATCCGAATCACTGTCCTCACTCGCACTCGAGCAGTCAGACATGGAGTCGGAGCCGTCGGAGTCGTCGGCCTCTTCGGAATCGGTCAGCATGGTGTCACTGTCCTCGTCCCCGGAGGTGGCATCCGTGGCGTCGCTGCTGTCGGCGTCGATGTCATCGCTGTCAGCCTCATCACCAGACGCGGTGTCCTCCTGATCGTCCTCGGCCTCCTCGCGCATGCGACGACTGTGCCGAATGGCACGCGCCCGGCGCCAAACATTGTACTCATCCAAGCCCTTGGTCTTGAGGAGATACTCATCATCCATGAAGTCTACACGGCGGCGGGAGGTCAGCGAAGGAAAACAGCAGGGGAGAGAGAAAGAGAGGGAGGGAGAGAGAGAGGGAAAAGCACAGGAAGCATGGGCCTCGTGGGTTTATGCAGTGCGCACCCTCATCGCAGCCGGCCTTTCGCGTGTCGACGCGCTGCTCGACGATGCGCACGCCGCGCGAAAAGTATGACGAGAAGTCGCCGACACTGGAGCCGGCCACCTCAGCCTCGGTGGCATCCAACGAGGACACCGGCAGTGAGGCCTCGGTGTCGGAGTCCGAATCGAAGACAATGTGCAGCCGGCGAACCTGGGCATGCGAGCGGAAAAGCGGCGCCACGGTCAAACTCTCCCCTTCATCCGACCGATCGTCCTCCAGCTCGTCGAGCAAATCCTCCGGGATGCTGGGGTCCTGCTCTTCATCGGGGGCAGTCCGCTCGATCAATTCGGCCGAGGCTTGCTCATAGTCGGCGATGATTGAGTGGCGACTGCCCGGGGCCGATGAGGACACGGCGCCCGGGGCCATGGTGGCCGCCAGGACGGGGCCCACATCCGGCAAGGTCGGCAGATTCGGATATCCCGGGACCTGAACCGATGGCAGGGGGAAGGCCGGGGGCAGGGGCATCGGCAAGGGAGCAACCGCCGCTCGGCGGCGCTTGGCCGTGTGTGTCAGAGGAGGCTCCGCCCCCGACGGGGAAGAGGAGTCATCCTCAGAGTCAGAGTCATCTGAGGAATCACTGTCGGCCGTGAGGATCGAGAAGGAGATCGAGGGCTTGACCTTGTCGGACTGATCGGAGTCGGATTCCGACATGGGGTCGGGCTCGAACTTCGGCCCGGGCGTGGGCAGGGGCGCATGCTTGGGCTCGAGATTGGCCGGTTGCTTGGCATGGCAGGCGGATGCCGGCGCCGCCAGCGAGCGAAGATGCGTCGCCTGGGCCAGCAGGAGTTCCTCCATGGCGGCAAGGCGTCTTTCCGTGGACTTTGCCAGGGACGCCTGGCCCTCGAGCAGCTGAGCCAGCTGTTCTTGCGTGCGATCGACCGATGCTTGAAGTCGGGCAAGAGCATCGGCCTCATGGGCAGCGGTATCCTGGACCTGTTGCTCTAGGCGCCGAGCCGACTCCAAGGTTAGGAAGCCCACCTTCTCGGAGCGCAGGCGCGCCGCCCGGGCCCACTCCATGGGCGAGAGATGGAAGGCCGATGGCGCGGCCTCGCCATTCAGTGGGGAATTGGCCGAGGGGAAGCCGCCGGCCATGCCCATGCGCCAAGGCCAGAAGATCTCCTCGCCAACAGGGATAGAGCCGCCAGGGGGGGCAGGCATCAAATCCGCCGGATGTCTGGGCAGGATGAAGTCCCCAAAGTGTTGGGCATCCCCCGGGCGCAGGGGCGACCGGAGGAAGGTGTGGTCCAGCGAGTGGGTGTCCGAAGTGTGCTGTGCGGTGTCCGAAGCGAAGGGGTTGTACGGCGCGTAGGAGATGTCATTGTCGACCGGCTTGGAGGGTGGCGAATCGTGGCAGGGGCCGGCCTCGCTCACGGCCTCCGGAGGGGAATCATCCTGGTCGGGCTCTTGGGGAGGACCATCCTGGTCGGGTTCCTGAGGAGGATCATCCTGATGGGGGCCCTCCTCGGAGGCGGGAGACTCTTCGGAGGAGGGGGAGAACATCCAGCGCAGCGGCGAGGTGACCAGACGATAAAGGAGGGAGGGGGGTGGGCTGGGGACGGCTGGGGCATCACCAACCACCAGGGCATTGGCAACTGCGGCAATATCCGTGCCATGGGCAGGGGGGCTGGCTGTGGGCGACCTCAGATGGGACTGCCGAGTCGAGGCCTTCTCCGCTTGTGGGCGTTGGAGCCCAGTGGCTCGGCGTCTGGTTGAGGATTGCGAGCTTTGCCGGGAGGCCACAGGGGCCGAGCTAACAGGAGGCATGCCGACCTGGGCGGAGGGGTCCATTCTGGAAGCGTGGGGGCGGAGGGAGCCGCCACTGCCGGTCGTAGTGTCGAGGAGAGGGCGAGGGGGATGGGCTCACGAGACAGGGGAGGGGAAACGTCCAGCCGGCAAAGACGGGCACCTGGGGGGACTGGAGAGAGGGGATTATGGGGGAGGGGGTGGGAGGGGAAAAGGGGAGGGGGAAAGGGTGCCAAGAGGCGCGCACTCCCGGGCCCACAGGGGCCATGCTCTTGACCGGGGCAGCTGGCGGGCGGGGAGGGCGGACGAAGGACCCCGGAGGGGAAAGAGAACCGACGACCAAGATGGCATGCCTGCATGGCGCGCGCGCGCCACGCATGACTCTCGGGATTCCGTGGGCAGGAGTCCATTGGCAGTTGTTGCGTTGTGGAAGGGTGTGTGCGCATTTTTGACATCGGGCACCACCTTGGGGGGAGTCCCGGGGGAGGAGGACAGCCGGGGAGGAAAGGAGGGAAAAGAAGGGTGTGGAGGTTTGGTTGCCTCGCCGCCGGCCCTCCCCTTTCCGGAAAGACCAACACCGGAGGGGACGATCGTTTGGATGTTTATTGGGAGTCGCGATGTGGGTGTGTATGAACGTGCTTGGGCATGTCCCGGATACAGGTGCGTCGAGGGGAGGGCGGGGGGATATGTCAGGCGGGCGGGCCGGTAGTCAGACTTGTGTGCCGCTGCGCCGGGCCATCAATCGTCCTTGATGCCGGTGCCGGGAGCGGCGGTCGTAGCCCGAGCCGGGGCCTTGAGGGACATAACCCCGAGGAAGGCAAGGACCACCGACACGCCCAGGACAATCAGACCAGCCGGCAGGGCCACGGCCCAGTAGCGGTCGGGGAAGAAGGCGTGGATGGTTTGGTCGGCGTCGACAAAGGGCTGTGCCATGGGCCGAGGGGTGTCAGAGGGAGCCCAGGGCGGCGGGGCAAGAGAAAGGGCTATTGGGGATAGAGCGAGCTGTCGGCATGGACTTGGCCTTCGGCATAATGGTGGACTTTTGGGTGGACGCACCATGATGATCACCCACATGGTGTAGTACAGGAAAATCAGCGTCGACACCAGGATGACAGTGACACCCACGGTGCGGTCAGTAAGGACACCCTGTTAAGGGAAAGGGTACCAGAGGCACAAGCCAGGGGGGGGGGGGGGAGCCGGGGAAGAGAGACCGGGGCGAGGGGGAGAAGGGAGGAGGGAGGGGCGGTTAGTTGAGGGGCATCTATTGGACGGGGGCCCGGGAGAGTGGAAGGGGGAGAGGGGGAATCTGACCATATTGGCAGGGCTCGGATTTCTCTCTTTCTCTCTCGCTCTCAATCAGGAAGAGGGGGGAGGAGGGGGGGGGGGGAGGCGAAAGCAGGCAAAGGAGGCGAGGGGGGCTGCTCCCCAGGTCAACAGGCCGGGGGGTGCCTCTGGCGTGCCTGAAGAGGCCTAGCCTCCTTGCGGCCTCAGATCGCCGCCGGTGGGCATGTGCTGTGCGCATGTGCTAGACAGCTTGCCCCCTCCTCGCCAGAGTGTCGCTAGAGGGCGGGCTTCAATGGTCACGGAGGGGCCCTTCTTTCGCAAGAGGGGTCGGGTCCGTTGTGCGTGTGTATGTGTGTGTGTGTATGTGCGTGTGTATGTGTGTGTGTGTGTGTGTGTGTGTGTGTGTGTGTGTGTGTGTGTGGTGGGTGTTGGACTACCCGCGCCAGGCGGGGCAAAAGCGCAGCCCGAAGGGCGACATGCAAAGTGGGGGCGTCAAATGCGGCGAGAAGTATCACATGTCACGCCAAATCACGCGGACATCCCATGCACAAAGCATGGGCTTGGATCAGTGTCTGAGACTTGGGCCGGCCCCCTGGTCGTGTTCCTCCGTTGTGTGTGAGCGCGTGGCCTCTCGTCGTTCGGCTCTCTTCCTTGCCCGCGCGCGTCTGGCATGGAGCGAGCAATCTGTCGGTGAGTATGCTCCGTTGCATGGGTGGCCTCCGCATTTCCCTCTGTCTCGCTTTCTCCCCTGTCCTTCCTTTCATTCTTCATGCTTTCTTTCCTGTGTCCTTCTCGCCCGGCCGGCCTGTGAGATCATTTTTTCGGTTGGTTGCCGGATGGTCGCCGTCCTGTTGGGCTGGCGCATCTGACACCGTTTCCTCCCCCCCCCCCCCCCCCACCCCTCTTCTTTACTCCACCTTTCTGCGCCTCCCCCCTGTGCTCTCTCTCTCTCTCTCTCCCTCCACAAGTCCAGGCCTTGTTCGGTGCTGATCCCCCTTTTCTTGATCACCTTTTCTCCCTACTTCTAAGAAGAAACGCCCATCATGGTACTGTCGCCTTCGGGAGGACCCCCCGCAGGAGCTCCCGCTGCCTTTTGCGATCATCTCCGCCTTCCCCCTTCGCTTCGCCCTCTCCTCTTCCTTCGTCCCACATTTCCCCCCTCGGCCGCTTTCTTACTGAGCTCTTCCCCCATCGCCACTGCCGGTTGTTGCCGGTTGTTTCCCCCGGCCTGTTGTCTCTGGCGTCCGGTCTCCTCATCCAGCTGCGGTACGTGCGCTGGCGATGTCACTTTCCCATTGCGTCTCTCTTCCGGGCGGGATGGCCTGTTCTAACTGTTCGTCCTTCCTATTTTCCCTCACAGTCGCCAGACTCGCGAGCGGCGGGAGTATCTCTACCGCAAGTCGCTCGAGGCCACCGAGCGCGAGGAGTACGAGAAGCGCCATCGCATTCGCGAGGCCTTGAACGGTATGTCCTCCCTTGTGGCGTCTTGCCGGGCTCTTTCACCTATTCACTCTTACTGACCCACTTGCTCCCCCCCCCCCCCCCCCTGTGTCCCCCTCCAATCTGCAGCTGGCAAGCCCATCCCCACCGAGCTGCGCGATGACGAGCTTGCCCTGCGAGAGAAGATGCAGCTCGAGGACCCGAACTCTGGAGGTGCGCGCATAGATCAAGCTCCTCCTTGCTCTGTCTTCCTTTCCGCCTGAACGCTCACCGGTCTGCCCGGCGCTTCGCATGTCCGACATAGTCCCCGACCATGATGATGAGTATGCCAATGCCGGCATGTTCGACCCGAAGATTGTGGTCACCACCTCGCGCGACCCCAGCTCGCGCCTGGACCAATTCACCAAGGAGATGCGCCTGGTCTTCCCCGGCGCCCAGAAGATCAATCGCGGTAACTATGTGATCAAGGAGCTGGCGGATGCCTGCCGCGCCAACGGCGTGACGGACCTGATCATCTTCCACGAGACCCGTGGCGAGCCCGGTGTGTCGCTCGGACCTCCTGCCCTTTGCTCCCTTCCCCCCTTCGCCCCGCTGCCCGGCAATCTGACCATGTTCTTTTCATTTCCTCCAAGATGGCATGATCGTCTCGCACTTTCCCTACGGCCCGACGGCCTACTTCTCCCTTCACAATGTGGTGCAGCGTCATGACATCGAGGACCGGGGCACTGTGAGCGAGCAGTTCCCGCATCTGATTTTCGACCAGTTCACCACCCCCTTGGGCCTGCGTGTCAAGTCCATCTTGCGCCACTTGTTCCCTGTCCCCCGGCCGGATAGCCGCCGGACGATGACCTTCGCCAATCGGTCGGACTACATCAGCTTCCGGCACCATGTGTTTGTGCGCCATGGCGGCGGCGAGCGCGGTGGTAATGAGGTGGATCTCAGCGAGGTGGGCCCTCGTTTTGAGCTGAAGCGTATGTCTTCTTTTGCGCCATTCCCCTTTCCCTTTTGCCTTGCCTTCTGACCTTTCTTCCTCTCGCCTTTTCCCCTCCCTTGTCCTGCGCCGGTGTGTGCGTATGTGTGTGTGTGTATCTGCGGCTAAAGTTTACAAGATTACCCAGGGCACCATCGATATTGGCGAGGCCGACGTCGAGTGGGTCGCGCGCCCGTACATGAACACCTCCCACAAGCGCGATTTCCTGTAGGCGGTGCTTGTGTCTGGGTGGGCCTGCCCTTTCCCCCCCCCCCCCCCCCTCGCTCCTCCTGTTGCTTGTCCATCTTTTCTATCCCCTTCCTTTCCTTTTGCGAGACGGCCCCATGTAAAGTAGTCCGTACCTTGCTTCCGCCCGGTCGGTGTTTCGTCTCTCCCTGTCCCCTTCTTCGCCTCCAGACGATCATAGCAAGGGCACCCCACCTGTCTCCGGTCTCCATCTTATTTTCCCTGGTGCCCACGTACACTGTGTTCCCTTTCCGCTCTCTTGCCCCGCACATTCATGTGCCCTGCTACTTCTCCCCCGTGCACAAACAAACATCTAGATATCTCTGTCCCTCTCTCTCTCTCTCCCTTCTCAGATGGCTGATCGTGGTTATCGGGGCGTCTCTTCTGTGGGCACTCCCTCTCCCGGCCGAGTGGGATGGAATTGTCTGTTTTTTTTTCTCGGTGTATTGTATTGGACGGGTGTTTGGCGGGCGCAGGGGAAGCCACCAACGAGCAAAGGGATCTGAAAGAAAGCATGGCAGCCGTTGCCGGGCTTACGTCGGTGGGGGGAAGAGGAAATGGTGCGGTGGGGGGGGGGGCGTCATATGAACAGGCGCACGCACAATCAAACAGGGAGAGAGAGAGAGAGAGAGAGGCGAGCATGCATGTATCTCATAGGCCCCCTTCTCTAACACACACACACACACACGGCCACTGGGGAGCCTCCGACATGTGCGCGACCACGGGGGGCCCACAAAGAGGGGGAGGGGGGAAAGGGCAAAGAGGGCATATGCCGAAGGACAGGGATGGCAAGAGGTGGGGGATGCGGGGGGACTTACTCCTGGTCCTCGGAGCGGACGGCAGAAGAGAACTCGCGAGCCTTCTGGCGGAAGATGGCATTCTCGGAGAAGAACTTGGGCAGCATGTTGTCCATACCGCCGAGGTTCTTGACAAAGGTGGCATAGCCGGCAGCGATGCCGCCGACAATGACCAGCGGGGCGACGCTCAGACGGCGGACACCGTTCGGGTAGGCTGAGGCAAAGAGGCACCGAGAAAGGGAGAGAGAGAGAGAGAGGGAGGGAGCATTAGCAGGAGCAAGCAAACGGGCCAACGGGCGGCGGGTGGCCGGCAGGGGATGCGCATCAAGGACGCACGGTAGAGAAGGGCGGCGGTGGCAAGACCGGCACCAGCGGCAACGGCATGGCCGGTGGGGGTGATCGGCTTGTTGTCCTCGCTGCAAAGGGACTTGGCCAGACCGCAGGACAGGGTGTAAATCGCAACCGCGAGGCCTGGGGCCGAGATGGAGCAAGGCTCACGAGCGTCAGTGCGTGCGTGCGTGCGTGTGTGCGCGCGCGCGAGCGCGCGGAGGAGGGTAGAGATGTGCCAGGGAAGTGGAACAGGCGGCAACAACATGGGCCCAGCGTAGGGCAGGACGCACCCATACCGCCGCCGAAGCGGAGGGAATAGTGGCGGGGGAAGTAGTTGGTGGGGACATCGCGGTGCAGGATAAACTTGTACATGTTGGCAATAACAATGGCTGATTGGGGCGACAGCGAGCAATCTCAGGTCAGCGGAGGCGAGAGCGAGAGGGCGGGAGAGACAAAAGCCACGACGAAAGCCCGGACGCACTGCTGCCGAAGACGGTGATACCCTTCTTGATGGCCGAATCCACGACCGTGTCAGTCGGGCTCAGGGAAAAGGTCTCGAGGATGTTGTCGATGCTGCTCATTGTGGCGACTGATCTCCGCTGTGGCCTGTCTGGTCGAGGGCGAGGGCGAGAGGGGAAAAGAAAGGGGCGAGGGAGGGGAGCCTGGTTTGCGGTGTGGCAAACGACAGGCGGGCGCTAGGGCGGAAAGGAGGGGGGGGGGAGGGGGGAGGGGGAGGAGGGGAAGGAGGCGAGAGCACCGTCTGATGCCGGGGCCCGGCGCCCCCGGGGGGTCGGCACCGGCAGCCGAAAAAAAAGATACGCCATAAGCCGAGGCCGCTGGCGAGGAGGAGGGGGAGGAGGAAAATCTCGCTCGCCAACAAGCCGACATGCCTCGGTGCTGGTGTCAACCGCTGTGCTCGGTCGGTCCTGGGAGTGTGTGCGGCTCGGTGTGTGCGGGGGGCGTGGGCAGTCTCAGCGTTTAGGTGCCCGTGCAGACATTGTTGTCAGTGCCTGGTTGAGGGCAGCCACCTTGGTTGGTGCGCTTGCCGGGGCGGCCCAGAGAGGCGCCGAACCCCGGCTCTAATCGCGTGACTGCCCACCCAAGAGGTTGCCATGGACCCCCTCCTGCCGCCGGGAGGCGGGCCTCCTCCCCCCCCCCCACCCGCCCCCCTTACGGCGTCTGTTCTCGGGAGCCACACAGTCGAAGGAGGCATTCCCAGCACTGGCGGGCAAGCCCCTTCAGCATGGAAGCCTGTCCAGCTGCCCCCCCCCCCCCCCCCCCCCCCCCCTCGCAGCAGGAAATACATACCCCATCGAAGAGCCTCTGCAAAGAGGCACGCTCAGACGCCCCGGGCGCCTCCAGTGTGATTGCCGACGCCGTGGTCGCGGCCACTGCCGACGGCCGGCCATAGGCAGGTGCGCGCGTATTTTCCCGGCGGGCGGGGCCCCCCGGGCCCCCCCTCTCACTCGTGTGACGCCCCAGGCGCCCCCCCCCCCCATGCTCTTCCCTGTGGCCACTCCTCCGCCCGATGGGCTGGGGTTCTCGTCGCCGAGGTTTAGGTTGTCGCAACACCATTCCAAATACATGCCAACGCACATCACATGTTACACATGTCCGTTAGTTTTAAACTTCGCGCCGTGTCCCGGAGATCGCCAGGTTGCTTTGTTTGTCTTGCCCGTCCTGCCGAGGGGGCGTCCGGCGGCTGGGTGCCCGCAGACCACATGTGCTGGGTGCTCCCCCCCCCCCGGCCCGGGAGACGGATCTACTTGATGGAATGCCCTGATCGCCTGGCAGCCGGGGATGAAGACACCATCGGCCGAGATGGCCACGCCTGTGCGCCCTTTGCCGGGGAAGAAAACCCCGCCGGAGGACCACCTCCCCGAGGAGGCAGCACGTCACCCCTCTCCTCTCCTCTTCTCCGCTCTCTCCCCCCCCGGCATCCTGCCACCCTTGTTTGGTTGATTCATCCACCTCCCCCATTTGCTTGTGCATACACTCGGACACTTTCACATCTGCCTTTTGATCAGGGTCGCCTACGCACCCCGAGAGAGAGAGAGGGCGAGTGACCTCGCGCGAGCCGCAAAATGAAGTCGAATGCGAAGAAGCCCACGGGCGCGGGGATGAAGCAGCCCGTCCTCTCGCACTTCTTCCGCCCCTCGGCTGCCAGCGCGGCCGCCGTCACCACCGCCACGGCGGATCCTGGCACCGCCCCGTCCGCAAGCAATGTCCCGAATCCGAAGCGCCCCCAAGTCGACCTGGCCGCCAGCGAGTCGAGCAGTGCCACCGAGGTCAAGCGCCAGCGGACCAGCCCGGCTCCCGGGGCCGCAGTCAGCCCGAAGGGCAGCTCCAAGTCCGAAGTCAAGCCGAATGTGCTTCCAAAGCCCCGGGCTCCGGCCGAGGCTGGATCTCTGGCACCTGTTGAGCTCAAGCCCGAGCCGGTTGACGGGAAGATGGCCGAGTCCGAGGTCCAGATGGACACCCACGACGCTCTTCCGATCTACCAGCCCGGCTCCCGGGGCCGCAGTCAGCCCGAAGGGCAGCTCCAAGTCCGAAGTCAAGCCGAATGTGCTTCCAAAGCCCCGGGCTCCGGCCGAGGCTGGATCTCTGGCACCTGTTGAGCTCAAGCCCGAGCCGGTTGACGGGAAGATGGCCGAGTCCGAGGTCCAGATGGACACCAAGATCGAGGATATCGGCGATGGCCCGAAGACCTCTCGAGCCCGCATGGCAAGCAAGTCGGCCGATGTCAGCCCGCCTGCCAAGCGGCGCGCACCCCCCTCGCGGCGGTCTCCCTCCCCGGCGGCCGAAGTCCTCACACGGTCGGGCCGGCCGGTACGCACACGCCAGCGTCGGGCCATGCTGACAATGGACAGCAGTGATGAGGATGATGTTGATGGCGGCGCGGCGGGTGGTATTTCGTCGGCCGACAGCGACAGCGATTTCATCAACGACTCGGAGTCCTCGAGTGGGTCCTCCTCGGATGGCGGCGTTGGCTCGGACTCGGACCTGTCCGGGGCCGAAACCGAGCTCGATCCCCTGTCGGACCTGTCTGATGACGGGGAAAGTGACACCGGGCGCCGGGGCCGAAGCCGAGGTGGGCGACTGCGCCGGCCGGGCCGCGGCGTCTCACCCCCGATGCCGGGCCTCCCCCGGGGGGATGCCCCCATGACTGACTCCGCCAGCTTGGCAGACCGATTTGCATTTGGGCCTGCGGCTGCGGGCCCGTCCGCCACGGGTCCGGTGTCGGTGCCAGTGCCGCGGCGTGCCCCCAACAGCTTCCTCCCTCCGAGCAATGCCACCGCGCCCGGGAAGGGTGCCGGCTCCAAGGCGCAGTCCAAGTCCGGGGTCAATCCCTCGCCACTGGAACGCCAGGTGATGGACCTCGCGGCGCGCTGTCCCCCAGGTACCCTACTGGCGGTTGAGTGTGGCTACCGGGTCCGCTTTTTCGGACCTGATGCCATGGCGGCGAGCAAAATCCTCGGGATCCTAAGTAGCACCCCGATTTCGCGTGGCGGCCAGGCCGCTGGCGGAGGTGTGCTTGAGAGCGCCAGTGTCCCGGTGGTGCGCATTGGCATCCACGTTGCGCGGTACGCTCGGCCTTGCTTGTCCTTTGCCCAGTCTCTTTTTCCTGCCTGTCCTCTTGCACTTTTCTAACATCGGGATCTTTCGCAACTGCTCTTGCGTCCGGTTATGTTCTCCTATCTCCTTCCTGTCTCTGGCTGTCTCTCGCACTGCCTCTGGCTGTCTCTCTCACTGCCTCTGGCTGTCTCTCTCACTGCCTCTGGCTGTCTCTCTCACTGCCTCTGGCTGTCTCTCGCACTGCCTCTGGCCTCTTTTTTTTTCTCTCTCTCTCTCTCTCTCCTCCTCACTCTCTCCCCCTCTCTCTCTCCCCCTCTCTCTCTCCCCCTCTCTCTCTCCCCCCCTCTCTCTCTCCTCTCTCTCTCTCCCTCTCTCTCTCTCTCCCCTCTCTCTCCCCCCTCACTCTCTCCCCCCTCAATCTCGCTGCCTCTGGGTCTCAGCCTCGTCGGCGCTGGGCTCAAGGTTGGCGTGGTCACGCAGCAGGAGTCCGCCGCCATTAAAGCGGTGGAAGCCATGTCCGGTGGTGGATCCTCAAGCGGCCCCTTCGAGCGGAGTCTCTCGCACCTCTTCAGCCGGTCGACCTTCACCCGAGCGGATGCCGGCATTCTGACCCGATCGCTGACGCAGGCCAGTGAGGGTGGCGGGGTGTTTGGCACGGCGGACGAAGTGGCCGAGGTGGCCGCAACCGCCGGGGTCGGCGCCGACACGGCCGGCGATGAAGCCAGCGGTGACCTTGGCAGCACGCTTGATGGCTCGGCCGAGGGCGAGGGCGGGCTCATTCTCTATCTGGCCGAGGTGGAGCAGCGCCCGGGCGTGCGATTCCTGAGTCTGGTGGCCCTGTCTCCGACGACCGGGCAGGTCACATGCGACCTCATTCCGCTGGCAGCGGCCGGGGAGGCGCCTGCTTCCGGAGGCGACACCCCGGCAGGGGCAACCCTCTTGGCCTCGAGCCATGCGACCGGCTTGCTGGAGTCACGGCTGGCTCTTTACCGGCCGGCCGAGATTGTGGTGCTGGCATCGATGGATGCCGCCGAGGCGGCGGCCGAGCGCCAGGCGGACCCGGTGGCCCGGCGATTGGCCTCCGGCCTGTGGGCCAGCTGGATTGGTGGCTTTGTCAATCCCGCGCGCGCGGGAGCCTCCAGCCAACGGGGCTTTCCGGTGCTCGGGCCGCGTGGCTGCTGGCCGAATGCCTTTTCTTTCTTCGCCGGCTTCCCGGAGGACATTGTTTCGGGTGGAGAGCTGCTCAAGGCAGAGGCCGAGACACATGGGGCTCCGAAGATGGCGACAGTGACGACCCCAGCGGCTCCGCCGCGTGCTGCCGGAGCCCCCTCACTGGCTGTGGCCAGCTGCCTGGGCCACTACATCTCGGAAGAGCGGTGCGCAAACCCCGGTATCCATGACTTTGCCCTTGCCCCACATGAAGGAGCACCAGCAACTGACCTGCACCCCGGCTGGGCCGGGGGCATGCATGCCTTGTAGTTCCAAATCCAGCCATGTTGTTCGTGTGGAGCGGGTTTGCCAGTCGTTCCTGGGCGACGCGACCGAAGATGCCCTTGTGTCCAGTGCTCGCATGTTCCTGGCTGGGGAATTGGAGCGCGCCAATGGGTCCCCCTTGGAGCCGCGACTGCCGCACGATCTTCTGGCCGTCCCCCTGGCTCTGGCCGTGCATCATTTGCAAATTTTCGGCCAGGCCGACATCATCCTGGACTCGATTCGGCCGGAGGTGCCGACCGGTCCCGAGGTCGGGGCTGCCGCCGATGACTCGATGGCAGCTGGCCCGGCCCCCGTGGCCGCTGCTCGAAGTGTGGCCATTGACCTGCCCGAGGGGGATGCCCTCTCGGCGGTGTCTTCCTGCCTCGGCATCGCCCTCCCTCGATGCTCCCTGTCCAGTCGCGAGGAGGGGTTCTTCTCTCTGGCAGACCCGCACGATGGCGCGGCTCGGCTGCATCTCAGCGCGGACACCCTCCAGCAATTGAATGTCCTTCGCAGTGAGGATGGCCTGGTATGATGCTCGTGTCTTTGTTTCTTTTTTTTTTCTCCCCGTCTTCCTCCTTTCACCTAACATATGCCCCCCACCATTCCTCTCGCCCGTGAACAGATTCGTGGTTCCCTGCTCTGGGCCATTGACTCGACCCAAACGGGCCCCGGGGCGCGGTTGCTTCGGACTTGGCTGGCGCGGCCGCTCGCCTGCGACCGGTACTTCCCCCTCCAGTTTGCTCTCGACCCCTTGGGGCTGCCCTTTGCTGTTGACTCGCCTCTCAAGCTAACCAACTCTTTTGACAGAGCCATCGCCGACCGGCAGTCGACCGTCTGCGAGCTTGCCGGGTTGCCGTTCCCGCTGCAGGCCGACGAGCACCTACTTAGCTCCGAGGCGGAGGCGTTTCTCCAGGATCTGCGCAGTCTCTTTGATCCGAAGCCGGAAACCCGCTTCTCGCCGATCCGCATTCGCGCTTGGCCGGACTTGGAGCGGAGCTTCTCGAAGCTCCTTTCTCAGCAGGTAAACACTGCCCAAGCTCGAAGTTTGCCTTTGGCCTGGCGCTCCTCTATACTGACACCTTGAGGCACACAACCTCCCCCCCCCCCCGCGAGCAGATCACGGTCGCCGAGTTGCGCGTTTTCCTCAATGCCCTGGTTGATCTTGACACGGCCCATGAGCGACTGAATGGGGCTGGGGATTCACCTGCAGCGGGCCCCTTCCGTTCTGGATCACTCAACCGCGCGGTCACCATCCTTGCGCGGGCCAGCGGTGTCGCTCGCACCTTGCGGGCATACCTGTCGACGCCGTCGGCCTCCGCCTCGGGGGCCTCAAGTGAGGGCCGTTCTGCCAAGAAGCCAGGGTATGGCGGTCCGCCGTGGGCGCAGCGCAAGCCGGCTACCGGAGGCCCGGGAATGGATTCCGCCTCCACCGGGCTGTACACTTCCGGTGTGTGGGCCACATTGGAGGTGGAGCGGCAGATGGCGCCCCAGGTATCGGCCATCCGGGAGCGCATTTTCGCCCTGGAGGCCTCGTTGGAGGACCATCTGCGTGAGGATGTGGCGCCGGTGGTGCAGCGGCTGCGCAAGTCCAAGACCGCCGGCGGCTTGGCCTATCGTACCCTGCTGGGCATCACGCACCTGGTCGAGGTGCCGGCCGGGGCGCGTGCCCCGTCCGACTGGACCAAGCTCAGTTCGTATGTGCCTCCTTTGTCCCGTTTCCAAGAGCAGTGAGAGGTTGATTGTTTGGTGTTGACCCTCCCCCGCTCATTGGGCCTGTGCCCCTCGATCGCCAATTACAGCACGAAGGCCGTGGACCGGTACCATACCCCCTTCATCCAGGAGTCCGTCACACAGCTTGCGGCCCTGCGTGCGCAGGCGAAAATCGAGTCCGACCATGCATGGTTTGCCTTCATCCAGTATGTGCTCCTGGCGTTTCTGGTGTTCGTGCTGGGTCCTTTCTAATGCCCCCTCAACTGCCCTGGCTCTCGCGCAGAACCATCTCGACGGAGCATTCCGCCACGCTGGCTAGCGTGGTGGCTCTTGCGGCTCGGCTGGATGCCTGGTTCTCCCTGGCCCGGTATGCCGGCTCCTCGACCGAGGTGATGTCTCTCCCGCGATTGGTGTCCAGTCGGCCGACACTGGATGTCCGTGCCGATGGCGTGTCCAGTGGGCTGGCAGCCACCCTGCGCCAACCGGCCATCACTTTTACCATGGAACAGGGCCGGCATCCGATCGTGTCGAAGCTCATGGAGGAGGGAGCCTCCGCCAAGTACATCCCCAACGACTGTTCCCTGTCGGTGCGTCTCTCTACGCTGCATGGGCTTCTTTCAGCGGTGGAGGGGGGGGGGGGGGGGCCGGATTTCCACCGGTCTGCCGCTCTTTTCCTTCCCTTTGCTGACCTGTGGCATGATCGCAGTCCGGTGGCCAGACGGCGCTTGTCTTGACCGGGCCGAACATGGGCGGTAAGTCCTCCTACGCGCGGTCCTGCGCGTCGATCGCCCTACTTAGCCATGTTGGATGCCATGTGCCAGCTGCGTCGGTTACGTGCTCGGTCCTGGTCGGGGGCATTCACACCCGGTACGCGTACATGTCGGCCGGGCTCCACTCCCTGCTGTGGCTCTTCTTGCTGTCCTTCTGCTAACGCCCCGGGTTATTGGCACATGTGACGGAGCCAGCATCGGCGCACAGGATGACTTGGTCCGCGGTCGGAGCACCTTCCTCATGGAAATGCGAGAGGCGTCGGAGATTTTGGCAGCCACCGCCCCCATAGGCTTGGTCGAGTCGGGGAGCATCTCACCCTCGGCCTTCGGCCAGATCATGAGCATGTACGACTGTCGGTGTCAGGAGTGTCTGCTTGTCGAAGGTCCCGAGCAGGCGTCCCTGCATGCGGCGGCCACGGCGGCAAGTGAGGGCACCGAGCTTCCAGCACCTCGGAGCTTGGCTGCCCTGCCCGCTGGCAGCACGGTGGCCGCTGGACGCCCGTTTGTCCGGCCGGCTTTCGTGCTGATGGACGAGCTGGGTCGCGGCACCGCCACATATGACGGGGCGGCCGTTGCCGAGGCGGTCCTGCAGGAGCTGGTCAATGTGGTGCGCGAGGGTGTTTTTCTTGCTTTCTTCCCGGTGGTCCGGCCGCCGTCGGCGGTGTTCCCTTTTGTTGAGTCGCCTATTCGCTGACTGCCTGCAATGTGACATTCGCCCCTTCCCTCGTGCGCGTCACGCCCCCCCCCCCCCCCCCTTTCCTTCCCTCCCCGCTCCTGCCCACGACAGTGCTCTGCACTGACCATCTTTATCACGCATTATCCGAGCCTCACTCGGCTGGCGCCCTTCTCGGGTGGTCGGATTGCCAATGCCCACATGATGTATCTCCTGTCTGGCGGCGCAGCGGCCGGGACTGGCAGCAGCAGCAGCAGCAACAGCCAGCCAGCCATCACCTTCTTGCACCAAGTGACCGTGTCCTCGCCCTCCCCGTCTCAGGATTCAGGGAACTTCGTCGGCAACGAGGAGCAGGACCACTCGTACGGGTTGAATGTGGCCCGACTGGCGCAGCTGCCAGAGGCATTGGTTTTGCGGGCTGGCGAAATGGCCTCCTCCATGCGGCGATCAGTCACCCGTGGCCGAGCTGCGGCCGGTTTGCACCAATTGCTTCGGGCGCTGGCCAACTCCACCGGCCCGGATGACGCCGCTGTGGTGGCCTTGCTGGCGGACTTCCGCCAGGCGATGGACCGGTCGGGCCTGAGAGCCGAGGACCTGGTGAATTAGATCCTCCTTTTTTGGCCCCCCCTCCCCCCCTTTGCCCTTGGTCTGCGCGCGCCCTGGCCCTCGCCTGTTTCCTACTCCGCCTTGCGCGAGTGCCTCACACCAGCAATACACCCCACACAAATGTACACGAAGACAAGTGGGAGCACCGAGAAAGGAGGGAGGGGGAGTATTTCTGCCGGATCGCTTGCCAGGGGCAGGACACAGCCGCGCACAAGTTGCAAGGGGGGGGGGGGGAAAAGAAGAAGAAGAAGAGCACCAGCGGGAGGGCCAAAAGACGGGGCCCACTCCGTGAGAGAGCGAAGGCAGAAGGCAGGCGGTGAACCACTCACCGGGTGAGGTAGCGGTTCTGGTCAAGCTGGCGCTGCTGCGACAGCCACGACCCGGCGCCTATTGAGGGGGCTCCGGTGCTGGACGAGCCGCTGCCGCCACCAGGGCCGGAGGAACCGCCGAGCCCCCCGCCAACGGCGACCGGCCTCCGGCCAGGGGGCGGCGGCGATCCCGGAGCGGCAGTCCCCCGGCGAATCAGCTGCGAGGATAGGTCGTACCAAGCGACGGCCATCATGCGCTGCTCTCGGCGCGCGGCCTTGCGCAGGGACTCAAGCTGCTCGCGGCAGGCACGCGACTCGCGCTGGGCCTGTTCCAAGTCGGCGCCACTCTGCTCAAGGAGGGCCTTGTAGCTGGCCAGCATTTCGGCCGGCGCCTCGGCCTGGGCCGCACGAAGGGCCAACAAATCCTCCTGGAGGCGGCGCTGCTCAGCATCACTTGCGCGCAAGCGCTCGGACAAAGTGTCGTGAGATTCTGCGCTCGATAGGGGCGTCATCCGTGTGAGCATCTGGCCAAGAGGGGGAAGAGAGAAAAAGCGAGAAAGGAGGGGCAGAGGCAGAGGGGGAGGGGGTTCCAGGCCGAACACGCACGCTTCAGCAGGGTCATCTCCTGGATCTGCTTCAAGGGGATGAGGACCTTGTCGTCGCCGAGATCCGGCAGGGCAGGGCGTTCGGCTGGTGCGGTCGGCGCCTCGGAGGCGCTGGTCTGCAGAGTTCTGAGGGACTGTTGGATCTCGGCCAGGTAGGCGGCCGAGGTGGCCTGCTCGGCCTTGGTGGCCCGCTCAACGGCCAGCTCCTCTCGAACAGCGGCAAGATCGGCGGCCAGTTGAGTGGCCATGGCGTCGCGCTGGCCAAGCTCCCTCTGGGCAGCGGCCAGATCCTCGCGCAATGGCCCAAGAGCAGCCAGCTGCTCGCGCGCGGAGGCCAATGCAGCGGTACTGCCGGCCAGGTCCTCGCGCAGAGACGCAAGTGCGGCCGTGCTATTGGCCAGCTCCTCGCGCAAAGAGGCGAGGGCCGCCTCGCCGGCGGCCAGGTCATCGCGCAGCTGGGCGCACTGGGCCTCGGATGCTTGGACCGCCGCCTCGGCAGCGGCCTGGCGTGCCTGATGGTCGGCCAGTTCCGAGCGCAGGCGAGCGAGCTCCGCCTCGGCGGCGGCCAAATCGGCCCGCGCGGTGGCCAAGGCCTGGTCCGAGGCCGTGACCAGCGCCTGGGCCTGGGTCTCGGCCTGGGAACTGAGGGGAGAGAGGATGCCCATGCACATGGCGAGGTCAGGGGAATGGACCACCAGAGTGGCTTGAATGATATGCGCACGCCCCTGGCGAGAGACAGAGAGGGGGGGGGGGGGGGGGGCGGAGGAGGGGAGGAAGAGCGGAGAAGGAGGGAGGGATAGGGTGTGGAAAAGGGACCGAGCGCATACCTCTCCGGCGATGGAGACTTCTGGGCCTCCTGCAGTCGATCGCGCAGGGTCTTGTTTTCGGCCTCAAGCCGGACAACACGGACACGGAGCCCGCCGGCGTCGGCATTGCTGGCATCCATCTCATGGATGCCACCACCCGAAAAGTGGTCCCCGGGGAACCCGGCGCCAGGGGCATCAAGGTCAAACCCGGCATCCAGCATGTCGTGGACATCGCCACCAGATGGCTGGGCCGACAGGCGGAGTTCCATTTCCTGGACGCGGCGCAGGGCCTCATCCGCCGTTCGCGTAGCCTGGTCCGCCTCATCGCGGGCCTGCATAAGGGAGGCCTCGGCTTGGGCCAGGGCCTCGCCAAGCTCAAGATTGCGCTCGGTCAGGGCTATGGGGCAGGGGGGATGACAAGTGTCAGAGTGGGGAAAGAATAGGTCCACGTGCGAGCATGAGGGCTGAAAAGGCGGGAGCGGGGAAAGGGACAGCAGAGGAGGCCGAGGATGTCCACATACTTTCGACGCGAGCACGGAAGCGCGCAATCGAGCCGGAGGAGTTCAGCCCAGTGGTGCCGGAATCGGCGCTGGCGTCGGCACCAGCCGAAAGGCCAAGGCGCTCGCGCAACTCCTCGCACTCTGCTTGGAGGGCGCGATTTTGCTTGCGGAGATCTTGCAGCCCCTCAGCGCGGGACTTGGCCTGGGCGGCCTGGCGTTGTGCCGCCTCCAGCCGCGTGGTCAGATCGCGGATCTCCTCGGCTTGGTCCTGGAGGTTGGATGCGGAATCGACCATCTTGCGGAGCTCGTCATTCTGACGGGGGCGCGCGCGCGCGCGCGCGACAAGTCCGAGGGAGCAGGAGGAGGAGGAGAAGGAGAGTCAGCGGGGAGGCCTGCCACCGGCCGGGCAAATGAGCGGACATACCTTCTTTGTGGCCTCACGCAGGGACTTCTGCAAGCGAGCATTGTCCTCATCGAGCTTCTGCTGCTCCTGATGCAGCATGTCACTGAGTGTGTGTGTGTGTGTGTGTGAGTAGGGGGGGGGGGGGCATTTATGTGCCCGGGTGATGGAGGAGAAGAGAGAGAGAGAGAGGGGCAGAAGAAAGGGCCAATCGAAAGGGAGGAGACAGGGGGAAAGAGGGACAGTTGGTGTGTTAGCGGAGGCACAATAGCACAGGGGACCGCGCCAAAGGCCGAGCTGGCGCACATCTGCCCAAAAGCGGCACTCAGCTGTGAGTTCAGCTGGCGCTCGGTCTTTTCGAAGCGACGCGTGGCTTGCTGGTGCTCGTGCACAAGCAGGGCATTTTCCTCGCGCATCCCCTCCAGCTGGGAGTTCAGCTCCTGAGTGAACTTGATTCGCAGGGTCTGGTGCTCTCCCTGCAGGGACTTGTGTGATGTCTCCAGCGTGGCGAAGGTGCCCTGCAGCTGGGCATGCTCCCGCTGCAGGCGCTGGTGCTGCCCCTGGAGGGTGATAAACTGCGCTCGCAGGGCATGATACTCGGCCGAGTCCAAGTCGCTGGGAGCCAGGGACGGGGATGAGCTCCCACTGCCGGCACTCGAGGGAGCTGGCATCCCGGCATCGGATTCCGGCAGAGTCAGGCCGAGTTCCTCGCCCGGGGCGCCGGATGATGTGGCCTGACTGACGGAATGTGTGCCACCACTAGCCGCAGCAAACTCGGCCATGAGCTGTGCTCACGGTGCCAGAGGAAGCCCCACAGGAGGGCGGGGGGGGGGGGGGGGGGGGGGGGGGGGGGGGGGGGGGGGGGGGGGGGGGGGGGGGGGGGGGGGGGGGGGGGGTCAGAGTGGCATGGGGGGAGGGAGGAGAGCAAGACCGGAAATGGCGCGACATACGCTCTCGATGATCTTCATCAAGGACTCCTGGTGAGTCACCGGGAGGGCCATGATTCGGTTGATGTGGGGCTCATTGTCGGCGCACTGGACCGCGGCCGCCAGAACGGCCTGTCGAGGAGGGCGGAGGGCGAGGACGGAAAAGACAAACAGAGGGATGAGTTAGCGCGGAAGAGCGGGGACAACATTCTTGCACACACATATGTGTATATGGATGCATGCGGGGGCTGATCTCGTGGGGCATCCGCATGCTGACCTGAGTCAGAGCAACAATGGCTCCGGTGTCCTTCTGGCGAACGATGGAAGCCGGAGTGAGGGTGCCGAGGCCGCCTGGCGTGGCAGCGGACAACTCCTGACCGGTGAGAATAAGGGAGAGGCTCTGAGACGGGGGAGGGGAGGGGGGGAGTGGTGAGAAAGGGGCAGGGTGCGCGGTCATGCGGGGAGGGCCGGAGCAAGAGCACATACCCGCTGAAGGCGCGAGATGGCCCGCTCCTGCAGGACCCAGTTCCCACCGGGGGACTTCTGGGAGGATGTGGAGAAATGAGGTGGGCTCCTGGGAACGAGACCGGATGATCGTCAGTGTGTGTGTGTAAGGCTGCGTGAGTCCAAGGTCGAATCTGGCACAGGGAAACGCTCCCCGGGTTCGAGTCTCGACACCCACCCCTTGGGAGGCAAGCAGAAACGCACACAAGAGCCATGATCTCCGTGAGGACAGTTCCATCGGAGAGATCCTCAATGGCGGTCACATGCTTCGAGAGGGAGTCGTACGAGCCAATCTGTGGGGAAGGGCGCTCGGAAGTTAGCAGAGGCGGGGGGCGCCCGGCGGCGGCAGTTCCATTGCACGCGTGTCAATGCGCACCCAGGCCAATAGACCCCCCGTCACAGCCTCCTGGGAGGGCATGGGTGGCGCGGCTCTCGGGGGAGAGGCTGCTCAAGGTGCACGCAGACACACGCTCGCACACACGGCCAGATGCTGAGCTTGTCCTGACAGGAGGAAGAGCGGTCGTGATGCGAGGAGGGGCGAGGAGTCACGTCGCCTTGGGAGTATGCCGGGAAAGGTGCGGTCAAGCAAGCGGACAGCGGGAGGGGGGGCGGAGGAAGACCGGACAAGGGGGAGAGGAGGCGGGAGGCAATGGAAGAGGGAGGGAAGGCGCGGGGACTCTATTGTTTGGCTGTGTCACAGCGGGCCCACAGCGGAGGCTAGCCAAATACATGGCGATCTTCGGTCGCCGAGCCCGACGCCGGTCGCAGGGAATGGGCCATCCCTTCCGGAGGAGGAAACATTCCGCCTCCCTGCTCCCCCCCCCCCCCCCCGCTGAACCTGGACAAAAGAACACCGCCCAGCCGCGCTAGCCCCCAGCGAAGCACCCCGTCAGGGACAAGCTGCCTTTTTTCACGTCCCCCGCCGGCTCCCCACTCCCCCCCCCCCCCCCCAGAGAGCCGGTGGGAGCAAGGCGTCGGCGTGTTTGCGGACCGCTGCCCGCGGCGCGGGAGGGCCGCACGGTTGTGCTAGTGCGTGTGTGTATTTCGGGGGCCAAGGAAAGGCGGACGGTCGCGGTGTCAATCTCCAGGTGCCGACGGAGGGGGCGGGACCGTTGGGCCTTATTTCTGGACACGGTCCTCTCGGCCTTAATCCGGTGCTGGGTACGGGGGCTGGCGCACCTCCACCTCCCGCCCCTGGGGTCCTGCCGGCGCAGGCGCAGGGCCGGGGGGGGGGGGGGGGAATGCGCTTGGGAACAACATGGCACAAAGACTTCTATGGGGGTGTATTGGGTGGGGGGGGAGGAATGCGCATGCGGGCGTCGGCTTTTACCGGCATCCATCTCGTCATTCTGAGGAGGAGGAAGAGGAGGAGGATGGACGGCCGATGGAGCAGCGGAGGCAGGCCAGCACAGGCAAAGGAAGAGGGGAGGGAGGCAGCAGAGGTGGCCGGAGAAGGAAACGGCCCACACCGGCAGCTGGCCTTCACGCTGGTCGACTAGGAGGCCGGGGCGCCAAGCAGATCGAAAAGGAAGATGCGGCCCATGCCGGACACGCCCTCCTTCGGGGCGTTTGTGAAGTGGGACTGCTGCAGCGGGGCGGTCTTGGGGTTGAGGACATTCCACCGACCGAGGCGCTCTTCTGAGGAGACAGCCGCAGCCAGATAGCGGCCGCAATGGCTGAAGGACAGGCTCACAACGTGTCCCGGGGCCTGGAGCCGCGGCCCATCAAGAGGGGCCAGCCGGCGGAAGGAGGCATCCACACGCCAGAGTTGGATAAAGCCATCGGAGCCAGCTGCGAGGCACGCGCAAGGGGGAAAGGCGGAGCATCGTCATTAGCGACAGGAGGCGGGATTGACACGGGCACAAGATGCGCCCGGTAGGTGGGAGAAGGGAGCACTAGACACAAATGGGGCAAGAGGCGAGGCGAGGGGGGGTGGGGGGAGGGGGTGCAGGGAGTTGAGGCGCACCGGTGGCCGCGATATCGGTGAAGGCACAGGCGGCCACGGCTTCCACAGCGGCACCGTGCACGCGGAGGATCTGGTCGCTCTTGATCTCGGACTGGGTGAGGCCGCTCTGGACGGCGCTCACGCCGACCGACGAGATGGGCTCGACGAAGTCGGACGCCGTGGCGGCATCCACCTCCGCCTGGTCGAAGGCCCGGCCGAGCTGACGCGCCAGCGACACCGTCTGGCTGGTGGACGGGCCAATTTGCATGACCGGGCGGCGCTTGGTGTTGGACCAAAGAGCGACGGTCCCATCATCGGCGCCCGAGATCCAGTGGTCCTCATTGATCAGGCTCACGGCCTCGATGACGGGCGGCGGGGCTGGGGCATTGGCGGGAGGAGCCGGGGTGTCGGTGGCCGGCATGGCGTCCCCGCTGGCCAGGGCCTGCAGCAGGGCCTGGCTGGGATTGAAAGCGGAGGACCGGAAGACAAGATGCGACTCCTCGGGAATCTTCCACTGGCGGCAGGAGCTTCGAGTGGCCGGGGCAATCGGGTCAGTTGCCAGCATGGGGCCCGGGGAGATGGGTCAGGAGGGAGGGGGGAGGGCGAGGACGAACCGATCGCGAGAGCCAACACTCAGGCAGCGCTCGCGGTACAGCGAATCGATGCTGTTGATGGTGTCCTGGTGACCGAAGCTGAACAGGGGGGGGGCGGGAGTTAGAAAGACAGAGCCAGGGGTCCGGGCGATGGGAGGCGTTTTTTTTTCCAAAAAAAAAAGACATACAGAGTCTCAATGTATGAGAACTGGTCGGCATTCCACACCTTGATGGTGCGATCGGCCGAGGAGGAGAACAGGTGCGAGGAGCCGCGGCGGAAGGCCAGACCCTGGAGGCACAGACAGAGGAGGGAACACAAGTCGAAGGACGGTGCGAGAGGAGGTCAAAACCAGGCGCCCATGAGAGCGAGCCGGAGGGTGGGGGAAGGGGGAAGGAGCGAGCGAGAGAGGGAGGGCCAAGGACAAGGAGAGGGAAAGCTGTGCATACCGTGACGGGACCGCGGTGGTGGCGCAAAGTGTGGAGGTACTTGCCGGTCTGCGCGCACCAGAGGATGATCAGGTGGTCCGAGCCACCAGAGGCCTGAAAGGAGAAGGGCGAGGAAGAGAGGAAGAGAGAGAGAGGTAAATAGGGGCGCGGGTGAGGGGGGAGCACAATAAACACATGGGTGGGACTGGCAGCCGCTGCATGGGCCAGGCCAGTGGCCCAGGACATGGCGCACCAGGGTCAGACCGTCGGAGCTGATGGCCAGGCAGAGGACATGCCCGGTGTGGCCGAAGTGCGTCTCGTCCGCGGCACCGGCCGCCTGGCCGGCGGCCAGCTTCTGCTGCTTGCGGGGGTTCTTGCGCGCGGTGTTGGCGAAACGCAAAACAGCCCGAGTGGCACGCTCATGTCGGATGATGTCACCACCCTTGCAGGCGGAGAAGATGAACTTCCCGCAGGGGGACATCAGGGCCGTGGTGAGAGGCCTCCGGTGGGGCGAGCGGATGTCCACAGAGGGGGACAGCCGAGGCCACGGGGCGTCAGCCTTGGAGGCCAGCTTGCGGAGATGAGTCGCCACGTTGTCGGCGATGGGGGTGTATGCACGGCTGGTGCCGGCGAACTGGAGCCGAAAAAAAAAGGGACAGCGGTCAGAGAGAGAGAGAGATCCAGGGGGGAATCGGAGGCCTGAATGGGGGAGGGGGGCAGTTTCACGCACCGCCTCCTGGCGCAGGCGCGAGGCAATGATGTTGCGATCCAGATCAGCGGCATCGATCTCGGTCTCGGCGCGGATGCGGTTTTCCTCCTCCAGCTGGGCGAGGTACTCCTTGGCCAGGCGAACGCGCTTCTCGGCCGGGGTCTCCTTGGTCTGGCCCTCGGTGTCGCTATCGGCATCGGTGGACTGATCACCGGCCTCCTGGTCCGAGTCGGAGTAAAGGTCGGCAAATGAGCCGCTCTCATCGTCCTCGTCGTGGTGCGAGCGGGAGCGCTTCGCGGGCTTGTCCTGGGGTGCCATGGGTGTCGGCCGGCGTGGGGCGGGTCGAGAGAGAGAGGGGGAATTGCGGTGAGGCGAGGTGAAGCAAGACGGGTCAGGAGGAAGGGAAGGGAGGGAGGATGCCACAAGCAGGGTGTGTGTGTGTGTGTGTGTGTGTGTGAGTGGGCAGTGGTGGACATACCAGCGAGGCTGGGCCGCGCTTCGACGCGGCACGGGCAACAGCGGACGACATGGTCGGGCGGATGCCGGGGCAAGAGTGTTTGGGGGGGGGGGGGGGGAGGAGGGCCTAGGCAAGGGCGAGGGAGGGGAAGAGACAGCAGGGGGAAAGCAAGGGGGGCAGGGGAAAAAGCCACGACAGGAGCAAGGGAGAGGGGAGGGGGGATGTTGCGGCCGGGCCGGGCGAGAGGGAAGGGCACTGCGGTGCTTTTTTGGGCCACCTGGATCCGCCCGTCTCTGAATCAGGCAGGGGTCGGGGAGGGGGGGGCGGGTCACTCATGTGTGCGCGTGGTCGCCTCGACCCGGCCTTTCTCCGAGGAGCTCGTGGAGGGGCACGGCGCTCGGTCCGGGCGGGGACAGGGTCCCCGTCGTCGTGTGGGGCGGTCAGCTCTCGCCGCCCTGGACACCGAATCTCAGTGCCACACCGGAGCTTCCGTGTTGGAAGGGCAACGACGCGGCCGTTCGGTGTGCCCAAAGAAAATCCTTCCCAGACCGGGGGCGGGCGGAAACCAGAACACTCCCCACATGGCCGTACGTCGAAAGTAGGGTTCCCGGCCGGGGGGGTTATACGGAATTTGGAGTAGCAACTGCCGACGGTAGTCGGCCGGTCCGTTGGCCTGCATCTCGGGAGCGCCCGCCATCTTGGCGAGCCCACTTCCCCGTTCCCCCCCCCCCCCCCCCTCGCCCCGCTCCTCGCCCGTCCACCCTGCGGCCCTCGCCCTCTTGTTGCCAGCGACCCGGTTGTCATCGTTCCGCCTCCCCTGGTGCATGGTCCGCCCTAGCGGGGGTGTTGTGCACCCGGATGCCGGCTCGAGCACAAGCGCGCGAGATTGTTGCCCTCCTTTTCCCCGCCCCCATGAGGCTCCGCGCGTGCTGATGGAGGGGATCTATTTTTTGCTTTTTTAAAACGGCGGAGGCACGAGGAACGCGCGCGCGCGCGCGCGCATGCAGAGGGGGGGGGCTCTACATGTATGCGCTCTCGGCCGCATCGGCCGAAGGAACCGCATCCAGCACGGAAGGCGGGAGGCCATACACGGCCGCCAGATGCTCGGAGGCCTGGCGAACTTGCCCAGCAAGCAAGGTCAGCTGCTCGGCAAAAGTGCCAGCCAACTGCTGCACATCCACCGGAGACTGGAGGGAGGCCAGGCTCTGCAAGCTTTGGCAGGTTGCCGACACATGGTAGGCCCCGACACAGGAGGAGCTGGACCGGAAGAAGTGTGCCAGCTCATAGAGCCGGGCCAGGTCCTGCGGAGTGGCGGGCCCGGTGCGACTGGCAAGCTGGCTGGAGCGAAGGGGGGCATTCGCCAGGTAGTTTGGTTGGGTGTGTTTCGATCGAGGTTTTCCGGGAGTGTTTGTTTTTTTCAGCCGGCCGATGGCCCGGGGTGGGGAAGGGCGGGGGCACATGGGTCAGGGGGGTAGATACCGGCAGGGCATGTGGACGAAGAGAGGGAAAGGGAGAGGGGGAGGAGGCCAGGGGGCGAGGCGGCGGGGAATAGATGTACCTGTAGAACCCCCGCATGTTGAGGATGTTCAGATTTGACTGGCGGATGAAGCCGTCAACCACCTCGCGGGTGAAGTCACGCTCGACCGAGTCATCGCAGCCCAGCAAATCGGAGAAAACCTGGAGATCGATGAACTCCGACGAGAGGGCGGCGTGAAGGCCCTCGGCCTGGAGGAGCTGCGGCGGCGAGGAGGCCATGTTCTCCACGTTTCCCAGGTGCTCTCTTGGCAGGAGGGGCAAGGCGGGGAAGGAACGGTTGAGCAGGTCGAGGAGGGGGGGGGGGGGGGGGGGGGGGGGGAAAAAAATGGGTTTTGGGGCCCGGGGAGGGAAAAAGAAGGGGAGAGTTAACACATTTTTATTAAAAAAAGAAAAAAAACAAAGAAAGGAAAGAACACCACCCAAAGGGAACTATTAAAATTTAGAGGGGAAGTTATACAACCCCACAACCACCCCACCTGAAACAGCGGCCCAGGCACCGAGCCACACTTCCCCGCCAGTTGCGAGGAAACGGGGGGAGGGAAAATGGTTCGCCAGGGGGGCGCGTTCCAGCGAGCGAGAGAGAATGCCCCCGGTCACTTGAAATGGCGGACCTGGCTTGGCCAAAACAGAGAGCCCTCGCCCGGCAGTCATCCCCCCCCCCCCCCCCCAGCCGAAAGGGGGAAGTCTGGCTTCCACAGCGCCGGCCAGCAGCCAGCCCGAGCCCCGCCTCACCAACCCAAGCCGGGGGGGATCAAGCTTGACGGACCGCCACGGGCGGGCGAGACCAGAGGACACCCCGCCCCCAAGGCGCTGGCGGCCCTTTTTTTCGCAGGGAGGTGGCGGGGCCGGATGTGGACGGGCCATCGCGGAACTGCCAATCGTCCCCGGGTTCCGGGCGCCCCCCGCCGGGGGGCAGGGAGGCCTCGGTCTGGCGGGTCTGTCTGTCGGCAGGCCGCGCTCCGTTTCTCCGCCACCCAGCCTGGGGCCCCATCATTTCACAGAGGTCTTTTCCCAGAGGCGGGCGGGCGGACGGAATGCCCAACCCACGCGCGTACCAACAAACAAAAGCCGGGCGCCGGAGCACCTCCCCTCGAGGGAGCGCTATGGAGGGCCGCTGGGCCTGATTTGCCGGCGATCCATGTGATACTCTTTCTGAGGGGCCCAAATGCGGACTGGCACAGCGGATGATGCTTCTGGCGGGGCTTCTTAAGGGCTGGGGCCGGGCAAGGAAGCGACCGCAGAAAGGCCGGACTTGACGAATGTCGCCCTGTCAGACGGGTGGTCCATCACGATGTTCATGTTCACACGTTGTAGAGTCCCCGTAGGGGGACACTTACCTTGTGGTTGAAGATTTGGGGACCGCCGTAGGCTGGAAACAGAGCACGGAAAACCAAGCGCATTGTTCACTCGGATGGATTGCCGCCCCGAGGGGAGGAACGTCAGGACCCAGGTTGATCCGGTCACTCTTCTTTTTTTCCCTTTTGCCCCCCCCCCCTCCCCCGGCAGAGACAGCGCATTCAGGCACATTGTCCGCCTGTCCGCACGGCATCGCCCCACCGGGCATCCTTCTCCCTTGGTCTTTCGCACCTCGGCCCGCTGGCCGCCAGGACCCCTCCCACGCAGGAAGGGGAGGGGGCCAAAAGGCGACGTGCTTCCGGGAGGGGGGGGGGGGGCGGGGGCGGGGGACCACACACGGCTCGGGCTTGGACGGGTTTTATACAACTTCTATTTGATGCGTGTGCCCCCAGGCGACACGCTAATGGGATGACAGTGGAGATGCGCGTGTGCGTGTGCGGGGAGGAAAAGCGGCGCGGGAAGGAGGAGCGCAATGGGACAGGGCAGCCCCTCCCCCTCCGCCCCCCCCCCCCCCTTCCGGTGGAAGTGTCACTTCCTCGCCGGCGGCCACTTTCCCCGCCACTCACAGCTTGAAGGGGATATAGCCGCGGGCGGGAGCGGCATCGCCAGCAGCGGGGCCGGTGGTCGGGGCGGTGGCGGCCGGCAGGCGAGCCTTCAAGAAGCTGAAGTCCATGGTCCCCTCGGAGGCGGCGGCGGCAATGCCGACAGAGCCGGCGGCAGCGGCAATCGCCGCAAGAGGATTGTCCCAGGTGGAGGCCGGGGTTGCCAGCATGGGAACCGAAAGGGGCGCGGAGGGTTTCCGGCCGGCGGGGGCGGCCGCCGGGGCGACCGGCATCGAGGCAGCGCCCTCCTCGGCGGCGGCGGCGGAGGCACCAGACGAGGCGGCCACGCCCTCGGCACTGGAGGGGGTGGCGGCGGCGGCGGCGGCGGCAGCGGCACCATCCTTGACCGACCCCGGGCGGTTGTACAGCGGAAGAATGACCTCCTGGAAGAACTGCCCAAAGAGCACCGCCGGGGCAGGGAGAATGTGTGCCGGGGTGGCAAGCAGGGCGTCGCGCGCGGCCCCGGCCACCGGCGGCAGGGCCGAAGCCGCCCCGGTGGCACTCGCGGCCCGGAGGCGGCCGCCATCGGCCCCGGCAATGCGCTGGTGCGCGGCTCCAGGCAAGCGTGGCAGGCCGCCAGCGGCGGCGGCGTCAGACTCCTCGCCACTGAGCCCGGCGCTGGCGGCACCGGCGATGGCACTGGCAACCTGGTACGCCGGGGACACCTGCAGGATGGAGGCCACATCCTTGTCCAAGGTGGCATAGTGCACACAGCGGATGCGATCGACATAGCAGAACTGCAGCGAGTCATCGAAGAAGGTGGCGGCGGTGATCTCCGCACCGGCGACCAACTTCCGGCAGATGGGGAACTGCGACTCCGGGCCGAAGAGCAGCAGCTGCTTGCCGAAGTTGTCGGTCCCCAGCGGACCGCCCATCCACCAGGCGTACACTTCCTCCAGGCGCCGGTCGACCGGGCACAGCATGAACACCGGCCGGGTGGGATGCACGGCCAGGAATTCCGCCACAATCGGGAGCGACCACTTCATCTTGAAGGACAGCAGGTCCCACACATGCACGGAGGAGGCCGTGCGGATGACCACATACGGCGAGCCCGGCAGGAAGCGCAGATCCAGGATCGGAAGCTCATGCGGGCTGGTCAGCACATGCCCGCGCAGGGTGTTGGTGAAGGGATTCCACACGGTCAGGTACGAGCCGCTGGCCACGGCCAGGACCGACCCATCGCTGGAGAAGGCCGAGTCCATGCACGGGTTGTCCCGGAAGTAGCCGGACGACAGGGAAACCCAGGAGGGGAGAGAGCTCGGCAAAGCGGCCGCACCCTCGGACCCGTCCTCCTCGCTGGCCGTGGAGGACGGATCCTCGGTCAGCTGCCACAGGCGGAAGCGCCGGTCCATGCCGGTGGTCACGCAAAGCCGGCTGTTCGGGTGGAAGTTCAGCGAGGTGACCTTCACCTTGTGGGGCATCTCGATCTTGGTGCTCAGGAGATAGCTACACAACGGGGAGCCGAGGCAAAGGGGGGTGTTGGTAAGGGGAGGGATTTGCCCAGGAGGAGACGTGCCAAAGGGGGGCGGGGGCGTGGGGGAAAGGTAAAGCAAGCGACAGCACACACCGCTTGGTCTCTTTGCAGTAGCGCCAGAAGCGCAAGGTAGTCAGGGTGGCAAAGCGACGATGCTGAACCGAGTCAACCTGGAAGAGGGAGCGGCATTGATACGTTGGGGTCGGGGAAGGCGCGAGGCGGGGAGAGTAAGGAGAGAGAGAGAGAGTCAGCGGGGATTGATGTGGGAGCCATGTAAGGAGGAACACACAGCGGCGATGAGAAGAGAGGGAGAGAGGAAGAGAGAAGGGAGGAGGAGGAGGAGGACAAAAGTGAGCAGCCACCAGACGCACCGTTCCCATCCAGTGGCCATCAGGGCTGAAGGACACCAGATCCAGAAGATCCGAGGTGAAAGAGAGCTCGGTCGGGCGGCGGTTGCCCAGGTACACCATGTCACCGGCGGCAGTCTCCGAGGGGAAGCGCACAGTGTGTGCCAGGGCCAGAGAGGTGCGACCGGAGATCCGGGCCGCGCGGAGGGCCGAATGCCGCGCGTCACGCTCGCGGTTCAGCTCGACATTGCGCCCGGTGATGTCCAGCTCGCGGATGTGCCGGCCCTGCTTGAAGGAGAAGAACTGCAACCGGCCCGGGACCGAGCGGAAAACCGCCCCCTTGGTGATGGGATCCACGGGGATGCCATTGGCGAAGGCCAGCGGCGTGTCCAGGGCCTCCGGACGCCGGACCCCGATGAAGCTGTCGGCAACCTGATTGGAGCTGGCGTCCACCCGGTGCAGGGTCGAGTCGCGCAGGCCCACCATGTAGAAGGCCAGGTCGGCCGAGGCGCCGATCGTCTGGATCGGCGAGTCCAGATGCGCCAGGAAGGACCGGCTCCGGCTGCCCAGCTGCCAGAGAGTCAGCACACCCTCGCGACCACCGGACAGCAGGAGCAGGCCGTCGTTGGAGAAGCAAAGGGCCCGCACGGCCGAAGAATGCCAGTGGAGCATCTCCGGCGCCAGGAAGGCCCCGCGCCGGGAACGGAAGACCGCGATCTTGCCGCTGTCGAGACCGGCAGCGAAGGACTGCGTGGCCAGGCTGATGGCCAGCGACACGACGCGCGACTGGGCAGGGAAGCTGGCGAACGGGTGGGCATGTTAGCCAGGGGCGGGGGTGGGGGTGGGGGTGGGGGGGGGGGAGGGGGGGGGGAACCGGGGCACGCGGGGCTGGGGGGGGGGGGGGGGGGGGGGGGGGGGGGGGGGGGGGGGGGGGGGGGGGGGGGGGGGGGGGGGGGGGGGGGGGGGGGGGGGGGGGGGGGGGGGGGGGGGGGGGGGGCATGACCGGGTGCATGCATACCTCTGGAGCAGACGCAGGGTGGCCTTGCCGGTGCCCAGGGCCTCGAGGCTCTTGTGGGGCACGATGCTGAAGTGCAGCTGGTGCCGGCCGCGCTTCTGCGAGCTATGCACCATGCAAAAGCCGAAGCCCGGGGAAAAGACCGAGGTCACGACCCCGACGGCCGGGAGGGTGCCAAGAGTGATCACGGTCTGGGCCTCGAAGGAGACGGCCAGCACCGAGGAGACCTGGGTCTCAGCATCCAGGGGGTTGCCTTTGGGAGGTGCCAAAAAGCAAGGGAGGAATGGGGTGGGGGGTGGGGGGTGGGTGAGCGTGTGTGGTAGGGTGGGAGGAGAGAGCAGTGGGGGGGGGAGACAGGTAGGAGCCCGTACGGTAGCCAGTGACAAGGATGAAGGTGTTGGCTCCGGCCACGGAGCACAGCTGCGCATGCAGGAGGTTGACCCCGGTGTCGTATTTCTGTGCCACCAAGAGACAGGACGGGAAGCGGCGGTCAGATGGAGGCAGTGGCCGTGTCGAGAGATGGGCGGCAAGCGGGCAGCGAGGAGCTCGGGACCGAGGAGAAAGCGAGGAAAGGGGGGGGTCGAGACGCACGCGCAGAAGGGACCCATCGAGGTAATCCCAAAGGTAAACCAGGCCATTGGAGTAGACCGTGTAGAGCTGGCGGAGAGGCAAAGGGAGACCCGGGTGAGATGGGAAGGCAAAAAAAGCGGCAGGGGGGGGGGGGGGGGGCAACGCACCCGCATGGGGTTCTCCTGGCACGGGAAGGCCGCCAGGACGGTCGGGCACGAGTGCGACCGGGCCGCGGCGACCGCATCGCCAGTCGGGGCCAGGGTGACAGCCGGGTCATCCGGGCCAACGTACGGGAGGATGCGCAGGAACTGCGCCCCCTCGGAACGGAGGACCGTGACATTCAGGCGACTGAGCTGGAAGATGTACTTCGAATCGAGGGAGGTGACAGCCGGGTGGCGACTGGAAGACTCGGACAGGGTGGCCGAAACAAGGCCGTCACCGGAGCGGATGGCGCCGAACTCGTCCCATTGGGCGTCCACCGGCGGGGGGTTGGCCGAGTGGAAGGACCGAGTCAACTGGCTGCGCTTGAGCTGGGCGGCAGTCGGAGCGGCCGCTGGCGCGGCGGCATTCAGCGTGATGGGCAGGATCCGCTCGAGGGGGTAATCCAGCGGGGCATCGACCATGGGGGTGTCCTGATCGGCGACCGAGCCGGACGAGGGGGAGTCGGTGCTCTTGGCCGAGGAGGCGCTGTCCGGCCGGTTGCGGCGCGGCCGGCGACCAGACCGCGAGGCGGCAGGGGTGGCGGGAGAGACCGGTGTGTCGGTCTTCATGCTGGGCGGGCGACCGTCGTCCGGGCCAGTGCACGCGAGAGAGGGCGGGAGCGGAAAGGGAGGAAGGAGGAGGGAAACGGGAGCGATGCAAGGAGGCGAAGTGGCAAGCGGCAGAGCGGACAGGGCGGGAGGAGAGGGGGGGGGGGATGGTATGGCGCTCGGGGTCCGAAGTCGCGGCGGGATGGGCCTCCAGGGGACGAAAAGAAACCCGGCAAGGCCCCGGGAACCCGGAGGAGGCATGGAAGCGCTTCATGGCGACCACGCTTCCCCCCCCCCCCCCCCCCCCCCCCCGTTTCCAGCGCCGGACGCATGGCTCAGGGGGGGGGGGCCCACTCCGGGAACACATGCGGCCGGACACTGGGACTCGGCCGGACAGCCGGCACATACTCGCAGGGTTACAGCGCGTCGCCACACCGAGAGCGAGAAAAAGAGGGGAGAGGGTCTGACCCAGAAGCCCGGAGGGCGGGGGCGGCGGGGGAGCAATCTGGCCCGGGGCAGCCACGCGCCTCCAGACCGACAACCAGAACCGGAAGCCCCCCGGACTTGGGGGGCGGGGGGGGGGGGAGGGGGGGGCCTTCGTCGTGAAGCATCACCCCCGGTTCCCGCCGCAGGAAGGGCGATAGTCGCACACAGCGTGGAGGAGATGGGTCTCATGCGGGCCATTGGTTCAGATCCCTGGTGTTATCATGTGATGCGCTCGCCACGGCGGTGACCGGACGGTAATGTCGTTTGTTAGTCACACGGCAGGTGCCGGTTAAGATAGGCCTGGCAGGGTGCTCGATGGGGGGGATGCCTGCCTCAGGTCGCAGGGGCCGGGGCAGGGGCAGGTCCGCCACAGATCGGTGGTCGAAGTGGGGGCCGCCGCCAGGGCAGGAAAACTTCGCCCTTTGCCGCGCTCTCGCAGGGGCGTCCTCTGTGGGCACCTGGGTGCCGAGGGCCTTCCCCGCCTAGACTGCCCCTTTCCGGCTTCTGCAGGGGCCTGCTGTGTGGTGTGCTCCCGACGCCAGATGGAAATCCCCGGGGCTCTCGGGTCTGACCAGCACACACCCCCCGGGGGCGGGGGGGGGGGCAGGGGCGTCCGGTGCTCCCCGTGAGCGCTACTATCTGGGGGTGGACTTTCACAATCATGGAAGATGCCAATCGTCCGTCCTTTTGGGCGGAGCCAAGAGTGAGAGAGGGCGGCCCCAACATCTTGGGGGGGGGCGGGGGGGAGAGAAGGCTTATCCTGCCTCGCGGGCATATGACCGCGGCACTTAAAAAAGTGTGAATAACCGGCAGCGCCAAGGTCAAGCCGGCCGATTGATTTCAAGGAGGGGGCGGCATCCCTCTCTCTTGCTGCCTGGGCCCGGGGGGCCGCATGAGCAGGGATGCGGGATCTTTGGGGCGAACGCGCTTCCACCGTGCGCATGCGTGTGCGCGCGCGCGCGCGTGTTCGAGCGGCTGACTGTCGTGGGGCTGGGGGGTCTGGTCGGGCTTCGTGGTCGCAACATGCCAGCGTGCAGTTTCTGATGGCCCCCCCCCCCCACACCAGCCCGGGCCCCTCCTCCTTCGGCGGGAATCCCCCGCGCAACACGTTTGCACTGCTGGCCTGCCGAGAAGGTCTGCCCAAGGCAGCCCGATCGAACCTTTGGGCATCTTGCCGGCCCTCAAAAGGGATCCACGCAACTGGCACCCGCCAGGAGCGTTATCTTCCCTCCCTCTCCCTCTTCCGCCCCTCCTTCTCCCCTCCCCCCTCCCCATCCCCCAGACCCGCCCGGAGACCCTTCCCTCTCCCCTCTCCCCCTCTCCCCCTTGCCCGAGGCGGAACGACACGCAGAGCACACACACGCGCACGCTGTCAAGCACACACACACACACAGACGCGCAAACACATTCACAGTCACACACACGATGGACAACATCCCCACCAACGTCAGCTGGGCCGAGCTGGCCGGGCAGATGGTCGACACGGAGTCGCCGATGGGCCGGCTCTCGCTGCAGGCCTTCCACCTGCTTGACCAGTTCCTCTACCCCTCCGGGCCGCCGACCGAGACGCTGACCCTCACGTCGCGACTGCTGATCGACGTCAAGAATGTGATCGTCATTTTTGCGCTCTTCCGCCTGCTTTCGCCCTTTGTGCTGGATGTCATCCGCCACGGCCCGGTGGTGGTGGCCGGCGAGTATCGCGATGCCCTGATGCGCACGGTCTTCACCATGGGCAAGGCCATTCCGGCGGTCCGCCGTCGCATTGACCGCGAGCTGGCCGGCGCGAAGCAGCAGATCGAGCAGCAGGTGGCCCCGGTGTTCCCGGGGATCAACCGGTATGCGGCCCTGCCCGAGCGCGGCCTCTCGGTGGACGAGGTGAAGCAGGCGCTGGATCGCCATGCCGAGCTGGGCACCGTCCAGCTGGAGAAGGGTCGTGCCTCGGGCACCCTGTACTGGGGTGGAACCGACATCACCGAGCTCAGCGTGCACTCCTTCGAGCGCTTCACCTGGAGCAACCCCCTGCATGCGGACATCTTCCCCGGTGTGCGGAAGATGGATGCCGAGGTGGTGGCCATGTGCCTGGACATGTTCAATGCCGGTCCGAATGCCGGTGGCACCACGACCAGTGGCGGAACCGAAAGTCTGCTCCTGGCCTGTAAGGCGCATCGGGACTGGGCCCGCGCCACGCGTGGCGTCACCGAGCCGGAGATGTGCGTCTGGCATTATTCTTTCCCCCTTTTCATGTCCCTTCTTCCTGGGTCCTCCTCTCTCTCTCTCTCTCTCTC